CTTAAAAATCATTGAAGACCCAGAGAACATTTGCTTATGTTGCCTATATCTTTCAATGCTCGCCGTGCCAAAAATTAAAGCCGAAAACATTTCAATACCTTAGTCATTTAAAATAGCAATAACAAACCTATTAGCAGTAACGTCAAGAGTGGGGTTTCCCAGAAGGCAGCTGGAGTCTCACAGCTATCTGCTGTGACGCCACATGTCCTGTGGCCTCTGGAAGACTCCACTGTACACTCATGGAAAGAGAGTGAGAAGGCAGATGGCAAGCAAGTGTGATGATGAAGACAGTTTCACTTACAGGCTCTGAAAGTCACTAAGGAACTCTCAGGATTCCCTGGATTTTGCTTTGAGAACCATCAAGTTAGAGATTGTCAAGATTTATCCTAAAACTGGTGGGTAGGCCGGGCGCGGTGGCTCGTGCCTGTAATCCCAATATTTTGGGAGGCCGAGGTAGGTGGATCACCTGAGGTCAGGAGTTTGAGACCAGCCTGGCTAACATGGTGAAACCCTGTCTCTACTAAAAATACAAAAATTAGCTGGGCGTGGTGGTGTGTGCCTGTAATCCCAGTTACTCAGGAGGCTGAGGCAGGAGAATCGCTTGAACCCAGGAGGTGGAGGTTGCAGTGAGCCCAGATTGCGCCACTGCAGTCCAGTCTGGGAGACAGAGAAAGACTCCACCTCAAAACAAACAAACAAAAAACTGGCCGGGCATGGTGGCTCACACCTGTAATCCCAGCACTTTGGAAGGCCAAGGTGGGTGGATCACTTGAAGTCAGGAGTTCAAGACCAGCCTGGCCACCATGGGGAAACCCTCTACTAAAAACATAAAAATTAGCCAGGCCTCTAGTCTCAGTTACTCGGGAGGCTGAGGTGGGAGGATGCCTTGAACCTGGGAGGCGAAGGCTGCAGAGATACAAGATGGCGCCACCGCACTCCAGCCTGGCAACAGAGCGAGACTCTGTGTCAGACTCACGACTATGCCAAATGTCACGTTGAGGTCCAAAGGGAGTGGGTGAGTGAGCAGAAGGAGCACTGGAGGCCGTAGGCAGGTGAACAGGGATCTCCAACAGCAGCTCTCACACTGTCTGCCTGTCCCAGCTGCTTGGTCCGGTGGCCCCCACACCCGCTGCCTTCAGGGTAGCGGCTTAACTCTTTCTCTGGGCACAGGCTGAGCTGTGCTGTGCCCTGGCGCGCCCCCCCCCCCCCACCTCTCTTCGTCTGCAAAGACGACCAGCCCTGGCTCGCTCGCTCTCTCTGGGCACCAGCGCCCCAGTCCCGTGGAGCTCCCCAGGCTGTTCGCCTCTGCCTGTGCCTGCTGCCCTAGGTTCCTTACACCCTGTCTCAAAAAAGAAAGATTTATCCTCAAACTTCAGACACAAATGCTTGATCTGCTTTTTGTTTTTTTTAACTCTTGCCTTGATTTCTAGAAAGACATGAATTAGAGGATCCAGGGTTTGACATCAGATCTCTTCTGCAGGAAGCGGAGGATGGCGCGGACCCAGAACACAGCAGGTAACTCCTGGGGCGGGGTGGGGTAGCGGCTGCTTCCTCCCTCCCTCCCACAGGCTGCACCTACCCTGCAGGCCGCACCGAGGAAGGCATTCTGAGGCTGCAGCCGACGTGGTGGCAGCTGGCGACCTTTTCATCCTAAGCTCAGTGAAAGAACAAGATACTGGTGCTGATAAAATGAAAAGGAAAACAGCTGAGGACAGAATGCAGGCGTCTCACCTGAGACAGAACCTGAGCACCCTGGATAAGATGTGTGAGCAGCAAGACCTCTTCATTGAGAAGATGAGGTGAGCGGGGCTGAGGCCGCTGTGCCTCCCGACTCCTGCTGCCCCCCCAGGCCGTGACACAGGTGCCAGAGGGGTGGTCGTGTGCCCGTCACCACCGTGAGAACCTGCCCGGGAGGGTCTCCCAGGGTCTCGGTGGAGGAGGAGCTCTGCAAGCCCCACCCAGGAGCTGGTGCCCAGTACTCCCAGCCCTCTTCCCACAGAGGAGGCAGGAACAAGTGCACTGCCTCCCCCAGCGTTCCCCAAAGTCACTGCCTGTCAAGCTTTTGCTATCATTTCTTTCTCTGTGTATGTGTGTGTCTGTATTTTATATCTATGGGGTTTTTTGCTAAATTATTTTAAAGCAAATTACAGACACTCTACTTCACTCCTAAATTATTTCTGTGTCTTCTCAAAAATCAAAACATTCAGCTGGGAGGGTGGTGCGCCCGTGATCCCAGCTACTCGGGAGGCTTGAGCCCAGGAGGTCAAGGCTGCAGGGAGCCTGGGCGACAGAGCAAGGCCCTGTCTTTAAAAATAAAAAATTAAAAGAAAAACGTTCTTCTGCATAACTTGGACACCTAACCCGGGTTCTTCACCTACGGAAACGACGACTCCTCTCACACGCTTCTGGAGCGGCCGTGCGGCTTCCAAGTGACCATCACGGCCGGCCTCAGGGGCTCACGCCTGTAATCCCAACACTTTGGGAGGCTAAGGCAGGTGGATCACCTGAGGTCAGGAGTTCGAGACCAGCCTGGCCAATGTGGTGAAACCCCGTCTCTACTAAAAATACAAAAATTAGCCGGGCGTGGTGGTGGCACGTGTAATTCCAGCTACTTGGGAGTCTGAGGCAGGAGAATCACTTGAACCTGGGAGGCAGAGGTTGCAGTGAGCGGAGATCACGCCACTGCACTCCAGCCTGGATGACAAGTGAGGCTCTGTGTTGACAAAAAAGCAAAAACACAAAGTGACCCTCAGAGCTGGTGCTCTGGGCTTTGCTCCATTGTTGGTAACTGAGGCCAGGGTCACCCCAGGACCTGGCGTGTGAACCGGGGTTCCTTCTGGCCCATGTCCCACTGGCGATCTGGGCCTGCCTGGTCTGCACCCTGGAAGGCTGTGGAGGAGCTGCAGCTGCGTCCCCTCCCGTGGCCCCCAGACCTCCCACCACGCACCCGTCACACGCAGGAGCACACTCGTTTATGCACACATGGGTTCCCTCCCACACCTGTGCCATCTTTGGCCCCGAGACCACCTCACCTTCGGGTGGGGGCCACACTGCTGCCCCTGGGCAGGGTTTTCCAAAAACGGACAACAAATTCCTTCTTGTGTGGCTTGCAGGTGTTAGAGAGACCCCTGGCCTGGACCAGGAGGCCTCTGGGGCCTGTCCCTGCCTCCCCAGCCTCACTGCCACTTCGGAGGCTGGAGTTTCAGGGAAGCATCATCTGACCCCCGCTTCCTCATTCCAGAGGGGAGCTGCGCGCCTGTCGGCAGAGGCAGGACCTGATCCGCAGGCAGCAGGAGGCCATGGCGGCCGAGATCGCCGCAGAGGGACAGGCCGGCAACACGTAGGTGACCCTCGCCCAAGGACAGGGAACCGGGCGTGAGATCAGGGCCAGAGGCTCATTCCTTCACGGGAAGGGGAGCACAAGGCGCCTGCTGTGTTCAGGCTAGTGAGGAGCCCCAGGTGGAGGCCACGACACACAAACACACAGAAGCACATGAGGTCGGCAAAGCCAGGGCCGGAGGGCGCTGGGGCTGGGTCACTGGGAGGCAGGGCACGTGAGTCAGTGGTCGGGGAAGGCCCCTGGGGCTGCTCTTGCCTGGAGCAGCAGAGCAAGGCCGCCCAGGGCGGGGTGAGAGGTGAGAGGCCCACATGGGTCCCATGCTCGATCACAGGCGGGAGGGCCTGGGGGAACTGACGGTCCCTGCGTCCCAGAGCGTGGCTCCACTGCCTCAGCTCCAGCCTCACCTCCGATTCCAGGGACACAGGGGACCTGCAGGGCCTGCCGAGCTCAGCCCAGCCCAGCCCAGCCCTTGGAAGGCCCCAGCAGGGTGCCCATCCTGGAGTGGCTGGTGCAGCCATGTGGAGCGGAGGCCCAGCAGCCAGGGGCCAGGGAACGAGCAGCTCCTCCCGGCCTGGGGGGTAAGGGCTCCTGGCCACTGTGGGCTGGGGACCTGAGGGTCGAGGAGCAGATGGGGCTGCCCAGGCCTCTTCGGGGTTTTGACCTGCCTCATTCCTGGACCGTGTAACTCAGGATCTAGGGGTGACCGCCGTACCCAGCCAGCTACTGAAAGCCCACCTCCTGCGTGCACACGGCTGGGACCTCCAGCTGGCATCACACTGTGTGGCTCTTGTGGGCACACTGTCCACTGCCCAGGAAGTGGTCTCTCAGAGTGTGGCTGGGCTGGCGCTTGATGTGCACTGGGGTGGATGACACCAGGAGGGGAGCAGGAGGAGGGAGGGACCCAGGGCGGCTCCAACACAAGGGCCTGGGGCTTGTCATGTGTGCCCACCTGCCCAGTGGGAAGTGGGCATGGGGAGAGCCTCCCGCCGGCCCCACACTCCTCACCTGCTCCATGGCCCAGCTCCAAGACTTCCTTCTTGAGGGAGAGGAGGCTGAGGGGTGCCAGGCGAACCTGGGTGGCCCCGGGGTGACCCAGGCCTGATGCACACCCAGCCTGTCCCTTCACCTCTGCAGGGCTGCTGTGGGCCGTCTCCAGGCCGTGTCCAGACGCCTGTTTGTGGAGCTGGAGAACGAGAGTGACTTGCAGTTGAGAACTGAGGCCGCGCTGAAGGAGAGCGAGTGAGTCGGGCAGAGCCGGGGCTGGCAGCAGACGGGTCCTTCCCACCTGTGGGCAGAGAACCAGATCTGGGGGGTTCTGTTCTGCACTTGACTGGCAAACGGCTGGGAGACCGAAAGAGGACTGAGCGAAAGCCGTGGTCGGAAGGAGCAGTCTTCACGCCACGTTTTTCAGTTTCTCTGGGTTTGTTTATGCTCCTGGCAGCTCCACAGTCAGGTCCCTCTTCCTCCTTCCTGGTTTCTCATGCTCTGTACTTCCACAGAACGGCGAGCCAGGTTTGCAGAGGCGGGAGAGACAGCTGCCTCCTCGCCCTGAATCCTTCCCTGTGGAGCTGGGGTTGGATGCATCGAGCGACCTCTGAGTTTGGCAAGAAGGGGTTTGGGAACGTGCACGAATTGCTCAGAGTGACAGAGGGGACCCAGAGCTGACCTCAAGAAGGACTCCCAAACCACACAGCCCCCCAGCCCGGGAGCTGCGGCCCGGTCCGTGACGTCCACGGCACTGACCCTGCAGGTGCCTGGGATGACCTGAGCCTTCCAGCCTGGGCAGGGCGGGGGAAACAGAGAGGGCTGAGTGCTGGCCTCAGGCCACTGTGCCCACAAGAGTGCCCATCCCGTACCGCCGGCCTCCTGCCACCTACATCTCGGCCCCACCCCACCGAAGACAGCAGTGGGCCCTGAGCCAATCTCCAACCTGAGCTAGCTGTGATGTGGTCGCGACTCAAGCTGGCATCCAGTGCTCTGCACCGTGGCCCACCTGTGTAGCAGCAGAAGGGGTGCAGGGGAGGCACTGAACCCAGCTGCAGCTGAGCGTAGAGGAGAGCACCGTCCCCGTGGTCCTCCTTTGACAACTGGCTGTGTTGTGCCCACCTCTCGCTGCTCAGCAGCACCTGCGCCAGGGCTGGGGGCTCCACAGGGCCAATGAACCCTGTACGGTTCTCAGGATAATGAACCATGGACGGTTCGCGGGGCTGATGACCCTGGAAGGCCTCACTTTACAAGGTTGCTGTGATTGTCTGCTTCTTTAAAAAAAAAAAAAGTTTTCGGCTGTGCCAGTGGCTCACGCCTGTAATCCCAGCACTTTGGAGGCCGAGGCAGGTGGATCATCTGAGGTCAGGAGTTCAAGACCAGCCTGGCCAACATGGTGAAACCCCATATCTACTAAAAATATAAAAATTAGCTGGGCGTGGTGGCACATGTCTGTAATCCCATCTACTCGGGAGGCTGAGGCAGGAGAATCTCTGGAGCCAAGGCAGAGGTTGCAGTGAACCGAGATTGTGCCACTGCACTTTATGATAAGTGACAGAGGCAGGAAGACTCTGTCTTAAAAAAAAAAAAGCTGCGGGGGAGGCCTGGTGGGGTGGCTCACACCTGTAATCCCAGCACTTTGGGAGGCCGAGGCAGGTGGATCATCTGAGGTCAGGAGTTCAAGACCAGCCTGGGCAACATGGAGAAACCCCGTCTCTACTAAAAATACAAAATTAGCGGGGCATGGTGGTGCGTGCCTGTAATCCCAGCTACTTGGGAGGCTGAGGCAGGAGAATCGCTTGAACCTGGAAGGCAAAGGTTATAATGAGCCAAGATTATGCCATTGCTGTCCAACCAGGGAACGAGAGTGAAATTCTGTCTCAAAAACAAGAAATTGTATTTCGAAACAATTCTGAACTTACAGAAGAGCTGCAAAATGGCACCCAGACCCCCATCCGGGAGCTGTCCCTGGAGCCCACGTGGGCATTGTGTGAGGGTGGCTCCCTCGCCTCCCACAGTCAGGAAGAGCCTCGGTCCTTCTGGGACATGCAGAGCTCGTGGTTCTGAGATGACAGGCTGGGGCTGTCCTGCATGGCGCCCATGCTCAATGGGTCCGGGGTGATGAGCTGTTCCCCTCAGTGTCCCCTCATGGGACGCATGATGGCTGCCAGCCCCGCCGTGGGGCTGCCGGCTTCTTCAGTGCAGTGATGCGGTTTCCCTGCGGGGAGAAGTGCTGAGGCCGGGAAATCCTACGGCGCTGGCATCCATCTGTGTTTCCTGCCAGAACTGATGCCTGCTGTCGTGGCTTCTAAGGGGTGGATTTCCAGTTCCACCATTCCTCCCTGTTACTTGGCTTTCCACTGTTAGGACAGCGTTCTCTCCTCTGTGTTTGCCTGCCATGTAGGCTCTGGTTGCTGTGTCCCTGGGGCTGTGATCCAGCCTGTTGTGATTTGTCTGCGTGCCCCGGCCGCCCCACATTTGGCAGTGGCTTCCTTCCACATCCTGCGTTCATGTCCCTGTCGCTCTGTGGGCATTTTCGGGCACAATGAGAGGCTCAGGTTCCCCTTAATCTTCCCTGCCCCTGCCTGGACTCAGCCCCTTGACCAGCAGTAGGCAGAGGCAGGAAACAGCTCTGCCTACCTGCCTACCTGCCTGTGTTGAAAACCTCCCGTTCACATCTATAATTCCAATTGCTACCAAAGCCACAGGTCTGTTCTCACCCACCTTCTCTGATGGCGAGAACCCTGCCTCCCACCATCCTCATTTGAGGCAGGTCGCTGTCCCGTCCCTCCCCACAGCCGGCCCCGGACTCTGGACTCTCCTTGCGCGGCCCCGAGCCCCTGGAACCCACCTGCTGCCCTCCTGCTGTGGGCCTGGCTGCTGCTGGCTGCCCATGAACTTTGACTCAGCTTCATCTGGGTCTAATTTGCATGCAGTACAAAGCATCCGGAGCATTCCCCGCACAGCCTAAGTGGGCAGCTCCACCCCACCAGGCCACCCCTGGTCTGCTCTCCACCTGCGGGGTTAGGTCTTTAGGACTTCGCCAGCGGACACTAGCAGTGAGCTCCCCAGTGCCCGGCTCCCGGGTGTAGCCTGACGCAGGGGCTCATGGATGGCCTCATGTGTCCACAGCTGGGCATCCTGTGTGCCCCTGCGTGTGTCCCTGTGCGTGTCCACTGCTGGGTGTCCTGCATGTCCCTGCATGTGTCCACAGCTGGGTGTCCCACATGGCCCTGCATATGTCCCTGTGTGTGTCCATGGCTGGGTGTCTCACATGGCCCTGTGTCTGTCCACAGCTGGGTGTCCTGCTTGGGGAGCTGCCCACTATTCATTCACTTCCCTGCTGGGAATGACTGTGCCAGCCCCCGAGGGTCCCTGGGTTCCAGGCATGTTCCTGCTGGGTCCCATTGGAGGTAGCACCCCCTCCCACTCACAGTCAAGGCCTCTGTGGCCAATGTGGAAACTCCTATTGTTGTCTCTGGGCCCGGGGTGTAAGGAGCACCAGATGTCGAGGCACAGTTTCAGCTTCCAGTCAATAGAATTGTTTCATGGTCTCTCTTGAAGGCCTCCTCCCTCTGGAATGGGGGCTTCCTAAGCAATAGAGCCCAGTGCAGAGGGCACAGAAACAAAATAGCCACGGGCATGCGAGAGGGGCAGCTTGAGGAGCGCAGTCCCTGCTTCCAGGAGTCCTCGGTTGTGGCTCTGGGACAAGTGGCCGGCACGAGGCTGGCCGTTGCTTCGGGACACAAGCTGCGTTCTGGGGACGGCGTCTGAACCTTGCCCAGCTCGTGTCCCTGCTGCCGCACTGTGAGCGTCATCTGCAGCCGCAGAACAAGCCACCCAGCCCTTAGCCACCTAAGGCAGCGGGCGTGATGGCCTCGGTTTCTGAGGGTCGGGGTCAGGGTGGCTCACGAGGTGCCAGCCACATGGGTGCTGCCGAGGGCCCGCTGAGTGAGGGGACCTATTCCCATGCTCACTCACTCAGCCGCTGGCTGCAGCTCTGGGTGTGTGTAATAGGCACCTCCTCATGGAGCTGCACCCCGAGTGACCGCTAAGTCCCCCAAGCAGCCCCCATGCAGTCTGAGAGACAGAAATAGAAGCTGCATGTCGTCTGGAGGCAACGCTGTCACCACTGCTGTTTCCAGGTGGCCCTGGACCCTGTGGAGGGGCTCCGGTGTGTGTCCAGGCTGGCCCGAGACCCTGTGGAGGGGCTCCGGTGTGTTTCCAGGTGGCCCGAGACCCTGTGGAGGGGCTCCGGTGTGTGTCCAGGCTGGCCCAAAACCCTGTGGAGGGGCTCCGGTGTGTTTCCAGGTGGCCCGAGACCCTGTGGAGGGGCTCCGGTGTGTGTCCAGGCTGGCCCGAGACCCTGTGGAGGGGCTCCGATGTGTTTCCAGGTGGCCCGAGACCCTGTGGAGGGGCTCCGGTGTGTGTCCAGGCTGGCCCGAGACCCTGTGGAGGGGCTCCGGTGTGTTTCCAGGTGGCCCGAGACCCTGTGGAGGGGCTCCGGTGTGTGTCCAGGCTGGCCCGAGACCCTGTAGAGGGGCTCCGGTGTGTGTCCAGGCTGGCCCGAGACCCTGTGGAGGGGCTCCGGTATGTGTCCAGGCTGGCCCGAGACCCTGTGGAGGGGCTCCAGTGTGTGTCCAGGCTGGCCCGAGACCCTGTGAGGGGCTCCGGTGTGAACACCTGGGGTCCCTGTTGTTTTCTTGGAGGCTGGATTCCACACGGCTGTGTCTCACGCAGCACCACCAGGACCAGCTGCTGTGCACGCGAGGAGCTGGAGCACACCTGGGAAGCTGGTGTGGTTTGCCCATCACGCCTGCAAAACGATCACCTTGCTGGAAGCTGCATTGGATGAAACACAGCGCGTGAGCAGCTCAGAGAGCTGTGTGAGGTGGGACCTCACTCAGAGGGCAGAACAGGGACACCACATCCAGGGAGTGGTGACTTTCAAGGGTGCGTGTCGCTGCTGCGCCGTGATGGAAGACCCCAGAGTCTTGAAAGGAAATGGCACCCAATGGGGCTCAGAGGGGCCTCCGCTGCTGGCAGCGCAGGCATCGCATGGCAGCAGCCACCCACCAGCCTTGGAGGGTAGCGTTCCGGTGGCCAAGCCCTGCCGAGCCTCATACCGTGACATGGGCCGTGTCCCCACCCAAATCTCACCTTGAATTTTAATAATCTCCCTTTGTCAAGGAGCGACCGGGTGGAGATGATTGAATTATGGGGCCAGTTTTCCTCACACTGTTCTCATGGTAGGGAATAAGTCTCATGAGATGGATGACTTTTTTTTTTTTTGAGATGGAGTCTCGCTCTTGTTGCCCAGTCTGGAGTGCGGTGGCACAATCTCTGCTCACCGCAACCTCCACCTCCCAGATTCAAGCCATTCTCCTGCCTCAGCCTCCCAAGTAGCTGGGATTACAGGCACCTGCCATGATGCCTGACTAATGTTTGTATTTTTAGCAGAGATGGGGTTTCACCATGTTGGTCAGGCTGGTCTCAAACTGCTGACTTTGTGATCCACCCACCTCGGCCTCCCAAAGTGCTGGATTACAGGTGTGAGCCACCACACCTGGCTGAGATGGATGGTTTTATAAAGGGCGGTTCCCCTGCACAGGCTCTCTTGCCTGCCACCATCTAAGATGTGGCTTTGGTCCTCATTTGCCTTCCCCTGTGGTTGTGAGGCCTCCACAGCAATGTGGAACTGTGAGTCCACCAAACCTCTTTTCTTTATAAATTACCCAGTCTCGGCTATGTCTTTATTAGCAGCGTGAGAACAAATAACACATGCCATCCTGACCCAAGCAGCCGTGGGGTGGCTGGGAATGAGGCTGGCTAAGCCACACACAGGTCTCCTGTCCACTTCCCTATGGAGGACTCTTTTGGGAGCAGCCTCATGGGACCCCAAAGTTCTCACACTCTGGGTCCACTCTGAGAAGTACAGCACCTGCCCTTCTCCAAGCCACCCTGAGTGAGAGCTGCAGAGCTGTCCCCTCCTGAGGTGTGACCGGCACCAGCCTGCTCCTGAGACCCACTTCCTGGCAAGGGAAGGGATGCATTCCTGTGGTTCCCAGGGCCTCCCGAGCTGGGGTCTGCTTCTGTGGAGGGCACGGGCTGGCGGAGGCATCTGTGGACTGGCCTCACAGGCATTTCCTGGCCAGCAAGCCCCAGAAACCCCCCAAGGAGGCCCTAGAGACGACCATCTCTGGGTCCTGAGCACCTGTGCTGGGCTCGCATGTGTCCCATCCCTGTGCCCAGGGGGTTACTGCCGGCTCCTGAATCTGTGCTGGTGGCTTAGGTACAGTCTCTCATTCACTCATCTTCCCACACGTGGAAGAGGGTGCCCACTGCTTGCCAGACACAGTCCTAAACCCATGAATGAAGCAGCAGAGTCCTGCCTGGTGAAGCCTGCTTCGGTGGTGGGAGGCGTGCTGTGAGCAATCATGTGTGTTCTGCGCAGCCTCGTCACATGACCGCCGCCTTCCCAAGCCCAGCTCAGCTCAAAAAGGAGGCTCCCGGTGCACCCCACTCAGCCACATGGGACCCCCAGCAGGCATGGTGGCCAGGACTGCTGTGAGGTTTCTCTGACTGCACCCGTGTCCCATCACTGCAGTGGCAAATCCCGCAAATGTCACAGCTCAGCAGGGCTCAGATTTATGAGCTTGTGATTCTAGAGGTCATTGGCCCAACACGGGTCCCACTGGGCTAAAGTTAAGGTGTGCACAGCGCTGGTTCCCCACGGAAGCCTCCACGGAGAATCCATGTCCTCCCTTTCCAGCTCCAAAGCTGCCTGCGTTCCTCCATCTCTGCAACCAGCCGGTCCCATCTCTCCAACCTTCATCACTGCCTTCCCGACTGACCACACTGGCTCTGCTGATAAAGGGGACTTTAGTGGGGTGCCCATCTACTTCACTCCGTGGGACCCCAAAATCAATTACTACTGCCAAAAACTCCTTCCACCCATCCACGCTGAGATACTCTGCCCTGCCGCCCACCCTGGAACCAGCCCAACTCCCTCCCAGGTCCAGCAGCACCCCAGGGCTCCACCTTCCCGGCGCAACTGGGAGCCCCTCAAAGGCAGCATCCCTGCCCGGGTCCCCCACGCACTTCAGAGCCCACCTCGGTGCTTTCCAAGGGCACAGGACTTTCCTCACTGGAGCCACAATGAAAAACACGTCGGCCAGGCACGGTGGCTCAAGCCTGTAATCCCAGCACTTTGGGAGGCCGAGGCGGGTGGATCACGAGGTCAAGAGATCGAGACCATCTTGGTCAACATGGTGAGACCCCATCTCTACTAAAAATACAAAAAATTAGCTGGGCATGGTGGCGCGTGCCTGTAATCCCAGCTACGCAGGAGGCTGAGGCAGAAGAATTGCCTGAACCCAGGAGGCGGAGGTTGCAGTGAGCTGAGATCGTGCCATTGCACTCCAGCCTGGGTCACAAGAGCAAAACTCCTTCTCAAAAAAAAAAAAAAGAAAGAAAAACACGTCTTCTCTATGTGGTCAAACTCTCAACAGCTGGATGCAGTGGCTCAGGCCTGTAATCTTTGGGAGGCCAAGGTGGACAGACTGCTTGAGCCCAGGAGTTTGAGATTAGCCTGGGAACATGGTGAAACCCCATCTCTACAAAAAATACCAAACTTAGCTGGGCATGGTGGCGTACACCTACAGTCCCAGCTACTCAAGAGGCCGAGGTGGGAGATCAGTGAAGCCCAGGACGTTGAGGCTGCAGTGAGCTGAGACTGCGCCACTGCACTCCAGCCTGGGCAACAGAGTGAGACTCCGACTCAGCAACCAACCTTCCAGTAGGTTCTCTCTCCAGACATTCGGATTCCTTCTGCATGATTTTCTCAGCTTTCTGCAGTTCAGGTGTCTCCTGGGTCCAGGTTTCCTCGACCAGCTAAGCAGATGACAGGAGCCGCCCATGGTGGGTGAGTGAGCTAGCAGCACGTCCACCTCAGACGCCCGGGCCAGGCTTGGGCAGGCTCTTCCCTCTGTGGCCTGGTGAGGTTGGACTTCATTCCCACACACCTTCCCCAGTCCCGCCGTGTAGATTAGCTACCTTCGTCCTCTCTGGGATCCTTCTCTTCTCAGGTCACACTTTGTTCCTGCCCCTGGGAGCATCTGGGCCAGAGGGGATGGCAAGGGGGGCATGAGGAGAACTGGCAGCCCTGCAGGGAGGTGCTTCGGGGCCTACAGGCAGCAGAGCCCGCCTTCAAGGGTGGGGAGGGCTGCTTCCCTGCTGACAGATGGGCAGAAGGGGCTTGGTGGTTTGGGGCTCAGATGGGTCAGATCCCCTCAAAAGTCGTCGCTCCCGTCCTCAAAATCCCAGTCTCCCAATCCACCTCTGCTCTGCTCTGCTCTGAATGCCGGCGCCCCTGAAATTCACGTGCCCCTGGAACTGAGCCCCACTGCTCATCAGTCCTTGTGTCGCAGTAAAGAGATGCCCGACACTGGGTCATATAAAGAAAAGACGTTTGGGCCAGGTGCGGTGGCTTACGCCTGGAATCCCAGCACTTTGGGAGGTTAAGGCGGGCGGATCACCTGAGGTCAAGAGTTTGAGACCAGCCTGGCCAACATAGTGAAACCCCATCTCTACTAAAAATACAAAAATTAGCTGAGCATGGTGGTGGGCACCTATAATCCCAGCTACTCGGGAGGCCAAGGCAGGAGAATCGCTTGAACCCGGGAGGGAGAGGTTGCAGTGAGCTGAGATGGTGCCGCTGTGCTCCCACCTGGCAGACAGAGCTAGACTCATCTCAAAAAAGAAGAAGAGAACATTTGGTTGGCCAGGGCTCTGCAGGCAGCACAGGGAACGCAGTGGCATCTGCTTCCGGGGAAGCCTCGGGAAGCCTCCAGTCATGGCAGAAGGCGAAGGAGGAGCCATGTCTCCCACAGTGGGATGGGAAGCAGGAGGGTGGAGGCACCACACACTCTCAAACAACCAGGTCTTTCATGAACTCGCTCATCACCAAGGAGATGGCCCATGCCCTTCATGAGGGAGCCGCCCCACAACCCCAACACCTCCCACCAGGCCCACTTCCAACAAGGGCTACAATCCAACACACCATGCAGGGAACTTGCGTCCAGACCAAATCCGCCCTGGAGGCGATGGCATGAGGTGGGGGCTCTGGGAGACTCGGCCATGGAGGTGCTGCCCCCGTGGAGGGGACAAGTGCCTCATAAAAGGGCCTGAGGGAACCCTTCTGTCCTTTTGGCACGTGAGGACACAGACAAGGCGCCACCTTTGAGGAACGAGCTTTCACAGGACATGGAACCTGCTGGCACCTTGACCTTGGACTTCCCGGTCTGCAGAACTGTGAGGAATGAATTTCTGTTGCTGGTGAAGACTCAGCGCCAGGCATTTTGTTACAGCAGCAGGAATGGGCCTTGACGGTGCCTCAGATGGCGACCCACCTCTTACCTTAGAGAGTGCAAGCTGTGAGCTCATGCGGCCCCTTGAGCACTGGAGAGCCCACCAGCTGGGGAAGCGACATTCAGTAGAACAGTGACTGAGCACTTTCCAGAACTGAGGGAAGCACGAATCCTCAGGTTAGAGAATTTCATGAATCACGAGCAGGAGGAATAGAAATATCCCTGCATGTGGAGGCACCATGCAGTCCCCCTGCCTCGGGAGAGGTGAACGCACCACATGGCCAAACACAAGTGACCCATGACCACTCGAAACGAGCCAATTACTTAAAATGACCCCAACAAAGAGCATAATGCACCCAGATTCTAAAATGCAGTGACACAACCTGGATGCTGTGACCCAGAGGGCAATGTGAGCAGCGGAAATAGGGCCAGTCTCAGGAGATCATTAAGAAAACATTAAAACTGAAATCCAGCCACACACGAGGCACACATACCTTGCTTGCCAAGTTGGAGTTTTACCCCAGGAGCCCAAAAAAAGGTTCAACGTTAGAAATTCTAACATAAATGCGTTAAAACAGAAAACCGTTGAGTGTCTTAATTCAACATATATTCATTTTTTAAAAAGATGGAAAACAAACAGTGCTGCAATGAACATTCGTGTACATGTGTCCTTATAGTAGAACGATTTATAGTCTTTTGGATATATACCCAGTAATGGGATTGCTCAGTCAAATGGAATTTCTATTTCTAAGGCCTTGAGGAATCGCCACACTGTCTTCCACAATGGTTGAACTAATTTACACTCCCACCAACAGTGTAAAAGTGTTCCTATTTCTCCACATCCTCTCCAGCATCTGTTGTCTCCAGATTTTTTAATGATCGCCATTCTAACTGGCGTGAGATGGTATCTCAGTGTGGTTTTGATTTGCATCTCTCTGATGACCAGTGACGATGAGCATTTTTTCATATGATTGTTGGCCTCATATATGTCTTCTCTCGTAAAGTGTCTGTTCATATCCTTTGCCGACATGGATGAAGCTGGAGAACATCATCCTCAGCAAACTGACACAAGAACAGAAAATGAAACACCGCATATTCTCACTCATAGGCAGGTGATGAAAAATGAGAACACATGGACACAGGGAGGGGAGTACTAAACACTGGGGTCTATTGGGGGGAAAAGGGGAGGGCCAGTGGGAGGGGGAGGTGGGGCGGGATAACCTGGGGAGAAATGCCAAATGTGGGTGAAGGGGAGAAAGGAAGCAAAACACACTGCCATGTGTGTACCTACGCAACTGTCTTGCATGTTCTACTTATGTACCCCAAAACCTAAAATGCAATAAAAAATTAAAAAAAAAAAGATGGAAAGCAGACTTTATTCAAGGAGGGCCAATGTGGTGGGGCCCCTGCCACGGGCCTTGCAGCAGGAGAGGGACTGGGCTCAGCTCCCCACGAAAAGCTTCTCACAAAAGAGGAAGTGGACATGTTCTTATAACATGGTCAGGGGTGTCCAGGAAAGGCCTGCAGCCCACGTCGTGTGGACTGTCAGAATCTGGGAGGGTACCGGCTATACTCCTGCATCTGACCTTGTCCTCGCGTGGCAGCCCCGGCCTGAGCCACATCTCTGGGTGGAAAGTTTCACATGTCTCCAGGAGCAGCTCCTCACATCCGTCCACCAGGCGTCTCTGTCTAGGCCGCCTCCCCAGCGGCAGCATGCTCTCACCTGCCAGGTGTCTTTGTCCAGGCCACTCCCCCAGCGGCGGCATGCTCCCTCCTGGCCACCTCCCCAGTGGCTGCATGCTCCCGCCTGGCCACTCATAGAAGGACACCATCCACATCCTAAGAAGGAAACTTCCCGACCTGAGCCCCCACTGGGCAGGCCCTCCTCCAACTAAAGATTCACCAGAAACTTCCCTGAGTTGTGCCAGGAACCAAGGGGCACCGTGTCATCTGCAGCCACCACAGACGCAACACTCACAATCCAGAGGTCAGGCAGGTCCCCGGTCATCCAGCACACGTGGCCCTGGGCAGGGCTGGCCGACTCCACACTCAGCCCCCACCCCGGGCACGTTTGAAGACTGAGGCGTGGGCTTGGGTGGAGGTCAGTTCATACCAGGGATCCTCCAGCCCAGCCACTGAGTCACGACTGTCCTTTCCCGAAAGCTTTCTCAGGCTGGGCAGGGCCCGCACAGGCCCACTGCAGCCAACAGACAAGGCCTCAGGCTGGCGGCGGCACGCAGGAATGCAGGCCCAGCTCCAGCCGGGTTGGAATGAACCCGTGGTGATTGTCCTGAGGTTGAAGGTGGGCAAGGCAGGCCTCAGCGTCTGGGTGACTCGGGATGAAGAGGACCCCTAGAGGAGGGAGCTGACCTGTCCGTGGTGTCCAACGTCCGCCTGGAGGATTTGTCAGAACTTGGTGCAAGGACCCCCCGGGATGGCCCCAGGCCTGACTCCAACCCCTTTACCTCTTGTCTAAAGGAACACCATGTGGCACATCGAGATCCAGGAGGGGCGGCTAGAGGCTTTCCGGACAGCCAGCCACGAGGAGGCAGAGGCTGCGGGGCGGCGGCTCCAGGTCCATGCAGCTGAGCAGCTCTGCAGGGAGCAGGAGGCCCTGGGGAAGGTGGAGCGGAACCATCTGCTGAGGATCCGGTAAGCAGCACCAGGCCTGCCTGCACCCCAAAGCTCCTGCCAGCCCCTCCGCCTTCTCCCCCAGGGGTCTCCAGATCCAGCCTCGCCCTCCACATCTGCCTGGCTCCACCTCTACCCCTCCCTGCCTCCTCCTAGCTTACTCCTCTGCCAGGCCCTTGAGTCCCTCCCAGGTGTTAGGCACCCCCGTGCACCTGCCCAGAGCCCCAGCCCTCCTGAGATGCCACGGCCACCAGACAGTCACCAAAGCTGGCCACCAAAGCCAGCCACTAAGCCGGTCACTAAAGCCAGCTGCAAAAGCTGTGCTCCAGCGAGACTGCCCCTCTCCTTTCCCTCCTGCAGCCCCATCCTCTTCCCAGCCAGCCCATTCTCTGGGCTCCCTTACACCTCTGGCTGCTCCTTCGCACCCCTCCCCCAGCTCCCACCCCCCACCGTGGAGCACTCAGGCCCATTCCCCATACATCCCCTGTCATGCATCCCCAGTGCAGCCAGGGCCCAGCCAACTACCAGGCCAGTCCCCAGGTACTCCACAGTCCATCAAGCCAGCTGTCCCAGCCTGCCCTGAGCCTCTGTCCTCCGGACCCCTTCCAGCCTCCATCCCCTCCCTCATCTCATTCCATCCCTTCAGCTGTCCAGGCCACAAATCCCTGTGGAATCCAGGCCCTGGCTGCAGACATTCACAGGGTCTGCAGCCCCTGCCTCCTCCCTCCCCATGGCACGGCTGCGCCTGCTCCATCCTCCTCCCAGACCCCCGCCCAGCCCAGATCAAATCTTGCCTTTGGTGGCTCCCTGGCACTAGAACCCCAGTGATGTGGAGAGTTTGACATCTGTGTGGCCCATGGCACCAGCCCTCCAGGGACCCTCGCTCCTCCCAAGGGAGGCTGTGCAGGACAGCGTCTCTGGGACACGTGCTCCGGCTATGCAGGGCCTGGAGGGCAGACAGCATGTGCAATGCTGAGTTTCCCTCTGACAGCCCCGTGGCCCCACAGGAAGTCCCTGCACACCCAGAAGGAGCACGGGCTCAGGCACCAGAAGCTGCTGGAGGACGCCCGGAAGAGCCGCAGGGTGGCCGTGCGGTTCCTGAAGGCCTCCCTGGGAAGGTAGGGCTTCTCCTGGCATTGTCCTTCCCTTCCATGCCCTGAGGGAAAAACCCAAGAATTCCAGTCACTTGCCTTTGTCTTGAAATTCCCTGATTTTATTATTATTATTTTGAGATGGAGTTTTGCTCTGTCTCCCAGACTGGAATGCAGTGGCACAATCTCAGCTCACTGCTCCGCCTCCCAGGTTCTCCTGCCTCAGCCTCCGCAGTAGCTGGTGTAGGGCTGCTGGCCCCACAGGGTCGTGGGGTGTCCCTTATGCTGTGCTGAGATGCAGGATCTGAGAAGTAAAGAGATAGGACACTGAAGAACTGGAGAAGAGCATCTGGACTCGGGGGGCCACACCACCTGTGAGCAGGGACAGGCGAGGCCCCGAACACCCAGAAGTGTCTGTATTAGGTACAAGCAGGTGGCAGGGTCGTAAGCAAGGTCATCATCTATAGGCTTAGTAATTCGGCATATGTAATCATGTGAGTTACAAGTGAGGGGGCCACCCCATTATGTCACCTGGGCAGAGAGGTGGGCCGTGCACAGTAGGGGACAGGGCCATGCCATGTGCAGTAGTAAAGGGTCATGTACAGAAAAGGGGTCCACCCCCATTAGGTCACCGAGGCAAGGAGGTGGGCTGTATGCAGCAGGTGTTGTGCACAACAATTCTTACCTGGGGGCTGGAGACTTCAAAGGGTTTCTAATAGAAGGACACTGTAAGCCGATACAGTGGGAGCTGACGGACTTGTGCTCTTCTCTAAGATATTTATGGGAGGATGATTTGAGCCAGCACAGAAGCGAGAAAAGACTGACAGGGTGTATGGCCGCAGTGACTGGTCACACCAGAGGGGTTCTTCTCCCTCGGTTACTTCCAGGATCTCAGGCCTGAGGCCCACTTTCCACAGGAACTGGATGCAAGGTACCACAGCTCCTTTATCAGGAGGAGAGGCTCCTGCTCCAAGCCTGCCATACAGCGTTTGCCCTTTCAGGGGGGGACACCAGCCCAGCCACCGCCTGGGTCTTTGGTTCTTGTCCTGGTCTGGCTGTTTCCCATGTGCTGCTTCTGTTCTGTGACTTCTCTAGGCATTCCTCCTACTACAGACTATTATATGGTTATATAGAAGGATTCTATAAATCAGCACTACATGTGTCCATACAGCTCCGACTACAACACCTGTATGATTATATAGAAAGATTATATGGGACTAAGTGTGATTATATATATAAGCTAGTATAGTAAGCAGTGAGTTACATGATTATATAGAAAGATTATATGAGACTAAGTGTGATTATATATATAAACTAGTATAGTAAGCAGTGAGTTACATGATTATAAAGAAAGATTATATGGGACTAAGTGTGATTATATATATAAGCTAGTATAGTAAGCAGTGAGTTACATGATTATATAGAAAGATTATATGAGACTAAGTGTGATTATATATATAAACTAGTATAGTAAGCAGTGAGTTACATGATTATAAAGAAAGATTATATGGGACTAAGTGTGATTATATATATAAGGTAGTATAGTAAGCAGTGAGTTATACGATTATGTAGAAAGATTATATGGGACTAAGTGTGATTATATATATAAGCTAGTACAGTAAGCAGTGAGTCATACTATTATAAAGAAAGATTATATGGGACTAAGTGTGATTATATATATAAGCTAGTATAGTAAGCAGTGAGTTACACGATTATATAGAAAGATTATATGGGACTAAGTGTGATTATATATATAAGGTAGTATAGTAAGCAGTGAGTTATACAATTATATAGAAAGATTATATGGGACTAAGTGTGATTATATATATAAGCTAGTATAGTAAGCAGTGAGTTATGCTTCAGGCACTAGTTGTGCCTGGGGTCTGTACGGTTCTCCTTCCTCCGTGCCCATGGGGGGGGTGTCACCCACAGCTGGGATTACAGGCATGCACCACCACATCCAGCTAATTTTTGTATTTTTAGTACAGACGGGGTTTCACCATGTGGGCCATGCTGGTCTTGAACTCCTGACCTCAGGTGATCCACCTGCCTCAGCCTCCCAAAGTGCTGGGATTTCAGGTGTGAGCTACCACGCCTGGCCCCCTGATTTTATTATTAAATCACCACCTTATCATCAAAAACCAGGAAATCTCTATTTTTAGTGTGGAGTTGCGGTTTCTTTTCCGAAGAGGACGGTGAGATGCCTAGGCATGTTCCTGCCGGGTCCTGGTGGCCTGGCCTTCCATGGCTGCACCTTCTGCCCATCCAAGCTCTTGTGTTGTCACCGTTGATTATGTTCTTGATGGAAATGGCAGCACCGAGGCTCCTGTAATTACACCCCACACAGCATCACTATGTCACTTCCTCCATTAAAAACGTGGCCAGCTGTCATGGCCCACGCCTCTGATCCCAGTGCTTGGGAGGCTGAGGCAGGAGGATCGCTTGAGCCTGGGAGGTCGAGCCTGCAGAGAACGGTGATCACATCACTGCACTCCAGCCTGAATGACAGAGTGAGACCGCCTCAAAAAACTTTCAATGTCCTTCCTCAGAATCCGGGAGCAAGAGAAGAAGGAGGAGCTGGAGTGCCAGGAGCACCTGAGGCAACGCATGGACGCGGTGGTGGCACTGAAGAGCAGCATCTCTGCCAGCCGGGTAGGCCCCGTGGCCCCACCTAGCCTCTCCCGCGGCTCCCTGCCATGTCTGTCCCTGGGCTCCTGCTCCTTGGGAGCCAGGCCCATGACCCTGGGCATCTGGGGCTGACCTGCACTCTTGGTGGCCCCTGGAGGTTCCCTGAGCCTGTGCCACAGATTTGCCCTCGAGTTCGGTGTGGCTCAGGGCCAGATGCTGGCATCAGGTAGCAGTCCAGCCCTGCTGTCACGGGGCCTGGTCTTGTGGGTGGAGAATGACATTCCCACAAGGCACGTGGAGGGCCGGGGCACCTCGAGGCCATGCCCTGGGGCCAGGGCTGCGGTTCCAGGCTGGGAAAATGGAGGGAAGAGTGGGAACAGCATCTGCAAAGGCTCAGAGGTGAGCAAAGGCAAGCAGGTGACGTGCAGAGACAGCTATAGCCCCATGCTCGTGATGTGCAATTGGCCAGCTGTCTCCCAGGGCATCTACGGGCATTGACATTGGGTTAAGGACACCTGTTCAAAGGAAAGGCCCAGTGTGTGTGTGTGTGTGTGTGCACGCGCACACACACACGCATGTGCATATGCATATGTGTAGGCGCATATGTGTGTGTGTACACAGGTGTGCATCTGTGAGCATGTGCATGTGCACATGTGTGCCTGTGTCAGCGTGTGCGTGTGTATGCAGGTGTGCATCTGTGAGCATGTGCATGTGTGCATGTGTCAGCATGTGTGTGTGTGCAGATGTGCATCTGTGAGCATGTGCATGTGTACATGTGTCAGCATGTGTGTGTGTGCAGGTGTGCAGGGTTCAGCATATGCAGGTGTGAGCATGTGTGTGTGCACAGTGTGCAGGTGAGCATGGGCATGTGTCTGCATGTGCTGGCGCTGTCACCTCACTGCTTTCTATTTCCAAGGACACATTGCGGAAGTTCCACGCATGGGGCCGTGCCAAGGCAGAGCTGGCAGAGCAGAGGGCCCAGGCTGAGAAGAAGGCAATTCTGGCTCAGGGTGGAGATGCGTTCAGGCACCTTATCCACCAGTGCCGTCGCCAGGAGTTGGAGGCCCAGAAGCGGTGAGGGTGGTGGAGAGGTGCCGCTGGGAGGTGCCCGCCCAGTCAGTGGGAGCAGGGAGGGCCAAGGGGGCCTCACAAGGAGCAAAGCTGTGCCCTCTCCCAGGGCCCCCACTTAGGCAGCTGTGGGGCATGGGAACAGGGGCTCCAGGCTGCCACCCTTGCCCTGCCTGGGCCTGACTCGGTCTGGCCAACCCTGCCCCTACCCTAGTCCACACCAACCCTTGGCCCCTTCTCCCCCTCTGGATTCTGAAACCCTGGCCCCTCTTGAGAGCTTGCACCTCCTGTCCCGACTTCTCAGGAGAACGGACTGGCAGGCTCTTTCCCAGCCCACCCAGAAGTATCCAGGGAGCCCCGGACCCCCAGCCTAGGGACATTTCCAGGCCCTTGCAGGGAATCTGGAGCTACCAAGCCTTCCTTGCTCACGCTGTCTGGGGCTGTCCACCTGGCTTCCTGGTGCCACTACCTTGGGCCCCCCTGGCCCCTCTAGCCAACCTCCCACCGTGACACATTGCCTCTGGCTTCACTCTCTGGTCTCCCCCAAACTGGGGCCCATGCTGCCCTCTCAGACCCCCACTGTTGGGCCCCACTGTGGGAACGACTTTCTGAGATCCAGACCCTCCTGCTGGGTTCCTACAAGTCCCCTCCCTCCCACTCGGTCTCGCCTTTCCCAGCCCTGCCCATAATGCTCCCTGGTGACCTCCATGCAGACACCCTGTCCCAGGCTTTGCCAGAAACTGCTCTCATCCTGGGAGCCTGGCCCTTTCTTCCCATCCCAGCCCCCCATGCACAGCTCTGGCCAATCACTGCTTCAGATCTGCCTGGGCAGGGCTCCTGGCCCTTTCTCTGTGAGGTGTCCTCCTCTGGGTGCCACAGAGCCCTAAGGGCATCCTCTCCACCTCCCCCCATGTGATGAATGGGATTTTCCACCACCCTGAAGCCTGCTCACCTGGGAGGGGGGCCCTGGCAGCAGCTCCACTGCCTACACGTCCCTTAGCCTGGCGCAGGCCTGGCATGTAGGAGGCACCCAGGAGGTGCAGCAACAGCAAGTGGTTGAGTGTCCTCAGCCTGGTGCCACCCTCAGTGGCAGCCCCATGCCAGCCTAGAAACAAGGGGGAGAAGCCCTGGGGGCAGCCAAGGCTGCTTGGGGACTGGGCTGCTAAGGCAGGCAGGGTGGGGCAGGGCTGGGCTGAGCTGGGGTTTAAGCCTGGATCCCCTGCTCTGGTCTCTGCCCATCTGCTCCCCACTGGAACTTGCGTTTACCCCAGGACCAGGAAGTTCCCACCCCAATAGCCCTGCTAGGGAGGACTGGAGACCCCAGGAGGGCCCTAGGGAGGGGCCACTGGGGCACCATCTCGCCTGGCAAGATGCAGGCAGGGGGCTTCTCTCGTGCCTCTGAGAATTGACTTCGCATAGGGCCTTTGAGGAGGAGCAGAAGCTCAGAAAGCAGAAGATTGTCAGTCGGATTCTGAAAGAGAAGGCTGAGGAGGAAAAGAGGAAGAAACGGCGTCCCCCCACCAGTGCCACGTGCCAGCCAACCCTGAGGGACAAGACCTGGAAATACATCTCTGACTTTTGTGAGAAGACCACAGTCCCAGCCAACATGGACACACTGGTGAGCCTGTGGACTGAAGCCACACACCTGGGGAGGGATGTGGGGCTTCAGGGCTCGGGTGTGGAGAGGAATCCTCTGAGGACCTCAGCACCACAGCTACCCTCTGAGTGGCGGCCACTCAGCTCAGGGGAAAGGGGACAAGACCCACCGCACGAGGGAGACCCACGGCCGCAGCATCCCCAGCAGGGGTCCAGTGTCCTCCAAGTCTCAGTGCCCCCACCAGGCCCCGCGTCACCCTCCGCATGTTCTTGCTCACCAGGTGGGGTCCACCTTGCCTGGCTCTGTAGAGAGCCAACTGCCAGGGAGAGGTGCTCGGCATTCAGAACGCAAGCCTGGGATCACCCTGCTGCAAAGACTCCTGATAGCACCCGGGGACAGCTTTCCTGTCACTCATTCATTTACTCACTCAGGCATTCATTCACTCATTTATTCACTCACTCACTCATTCACTCATTCATTCATTCCATCACTCACTCATTCTCTCATTCATTCACTTATTCACTCATTCACTCACACATTCACTTATTTAGTCATTCATTCCCTCACTCATTGATTACTCATTCTCTGACTCATGCCCTCATTCACTCACTCATTCACTCACTCACTCACTTATTCACTCATTCACTCACTCACTTACTCATTCACTCATTCACTCACTCACACACTTGTGCACTTACTCATTCCCTCACTCATTCATTCGCTCATTCATTCACTTACTCATTCACACACACTCATTCACTCACTCATTCCCTCACTCACTGATTCACTCATTCTCTCACTCATTCCCTCATTCACTCACTCATTCACTCATTCCCTTACTCATTCACTCATTCACTCACTCACACACTCATTCACTTATTCACTCATTCCCTCATTCACTCACTCATTCACTTACTCCCTCACTCATTCCCACACTCATTCACTCATTCTCTCACTAACTCAATTACTCATTACCTCACTCATTCACACTCACTCACTCATTCCCTCACTCCCTCACTCATTCACTCACTCATTCACTCACTCACTCATTCCCTCACTCCCTCACTCATTCACTCACTCACTCCCACACTCACTCATTCACTCACTCAATCCCTCACTCACTCATTCCCTCATTTATTCACTCAGTCACTTTGTCACTCACTCATTCTCTTACTCATTCACTCACTCACTCATTCCCTCACTCATTCACTCATTCCCTCACTCACTCATTTCCTCACTCATTACCTCACTCACTTATTCCCTCACTCTGTCACTCACTCATTCCCTCACTCACTCCCTCACTCACTCATTCCCTCACTCATTCACTCATTCCCTCACTCATTCACTCAGTCACTCCCTCACTCATTCCCTCACTCACTCATTCACTCATGCACTCTCATTCCCTCACTTATTCCCTCACTCACTCATTCACTCACTCATTCATTCCCTCACTCACTCAATCCCTCACTCATTCACTCACTCACTCATTCCCTCAGTCATTCACTCAACTCACTCATTCCCTCACTCATTCTCTCACTCACTTTTTCTCTCCCTCACTCATTTCCTCACTCATTCACTCAGTCACTGCCTCGCTCACTCATTCCCTCACTCACTCACTCATTCACTTACTCCCTCACTCATTCCCTCACTTATTCCCTTACTCATTCCCTCACTCATTCACTCACTCATTCCATCACTCATTCACTCACTCATTCTATCACGTATTCACTCACTCATTCCATCACTCACTCATTCCCTCACTCCCTCACTCATTCACTCACTCCCTCACTCATTCCCTCACTCATTCACTCACTCACTCATTCACTCACTCACTCATTCTTTCACTCACTCCCTCACTCACTCACTCCATCATTCATTCCCTCACTCACTCATTCCCTCACTCCCTCACTCATTCACTCACTCCCTCACTCATTCCCTCACTCATTCACTCACTCACTCATTCTTTCACTCACTCCCTCACTCACTCCATCATTCATTCCCTCACTCACTCACTCATTCCCTCACTCACTCATTTCCTCACTCACTCATTCTCTCGCTCATTCACTCACTCACTTATTTATTCCCTCACTCATTCATGCACTCACTCACTCATTTCCTCACTCATCCATGCACTCACTCATTACCTCACTCCCTCACTCATTCACTCACTCACTCCCTCACTCATTCACTCACTCATTCCCTCACTCATTCACTCACTCATTCCCTCACTCACTCATTCCCTCACTCACTCATTCCCTCACTCACTCATTCTCTCACTCATTCACTCACTCACTCCCTCACTCACTCATGCCCTCACTCACTCATTCTCTCACTCACTCATTCCCTCACTCATTCACTCACTCATTCCCTCACTCATTCACTCATTCCCTCACTCACTCATTCCTTCATTCACTCATTCATTCCCTCACTCATTCACTCATTCTTTCACTCACTCGCTCATTCTTTCACTCACTCCCTCACTCACTCACTCCTTCAATCACTCACTCCCTCACTCACTCACTCACTCATTCACTCACTCACTTACTCATTCTCTCACTCACATGCAGGGCCTGCTTCCTGTCTACTGTTTCTGCAGGCAACTGCCTTCAGTTGGAGGAATGTATATTCGTTTACATTTCCCTCAAGGTGTAGGGTAGGGGTGGACGATGGCCCTTTCCTGAGCCTGGCCCAGTGCTGCAACTTTGTCCTTGTGTACCCCAAACCCTGAAGGTCAAGGTCACTGACCTGACAGATGCCCTGCTGGGAAAGAGCAGCCTCAGCCTCCCTCAGCTTTGGCCTCTGCAGGGTCTCGGTGGTGCCCCTCTGGGCTCCAGAAAAGATCCTTTCCTGCTCTCCAGCTTCCCAGTACCCAGGCAGAGCCTCTGCCCCGTCCACCCCTCACTGCCAGTCTCACACCGTGTGGCCTTTGCACCTGGCGAGTCCTCTGCCGGGAGCAGAAGCCCCTCCTTGCTCCAGAGAAGGTTCCCCGGCCCCCGCCCCCACCTGTGAGCTGCTCCCAGTGATTCTCTGTGGCACCATAAGTCCCACTGCACAGGTCATGGTCAGCAGATAGCAACACATTGGTCCTGTCCAAACTTCCTGTCTGTGGCTCCATAGGATGGTCCCCAGGAGGAAGAGCTCTGTCCCCTAGCTCAGTGCTCCTTTCTCTGGCAGATGGGCTAGGCCCAGTCCCCAAACTCATTCCCAGGAGACCACCCCCGCCGTCCTCCCGGGGTCAGCTTGAGGGCTTGTCCTGGGCATGGTTTATATCAGGAAAAATGAGAACGACAAGTGCCTGAGGTCGACACCAAGGGTTCCAGTCCAGGAATCGGAACGTTTTCCTACCAAAGGAAATATTCTGCAGACTCTTCTGAGCATTGTAGAAAAATATTTCATAATGTATTAAAATACTTACATTTCAAGTAGAAAAAGTTACCAAACCACGTGCACCACTGTCTCCATGCAGAGTACACAACTCGGAAGAGCAGGGCACGGGCTGGGGCTGCATGGGTTTCTCTTCCCTATTCTCTGACCTGAGCGTGTCTTCGCGGCATTCCCCTCCCGACCGCAGGCCTGGGAGGCGGCTGCAGGCTCCAGGGCCTCCCGGTTGGTGGAAGTCGTCTCCAGCGAGTTCATGCAGGCGAACCCCGCGGCCGATGCCGAGGAGGAAACGTTAGCTGAGCCCGAGATCTCTGGGCTTTGGAACGAAGACCAGAAGCAGTTCCAGGTACCGGCTCCTGCTCCTTTAGACGCCTGCAGTGGGAGGACCCCTCGCCTCTGTTGGCAGCTCCCCACCTCCATGCCCGCCCTGCCCACACCAGCTGCTGGAGGCCTCTCCCACTGTGCCTGCATCTCCCACCACCCCCTCCCGCGCGTCGATGCCCCCACCTTCCTCTCCACACTCAGGCCTCTCCCCCTTCGCAGAGCCTGGAGGGACCCCAAACTCCCAGACAGCAGCAGGGCCACCATGGTGTGAGGGGAGGGACGTGGGGCTCCCAGGCTGAGCACTACTGGAGCAGCAGCTTTCTAGAAAAAGCAAGCAAACTGTGACGGCCCCTGTAAAAAATACACCCCATCTGGCGCTAGAGTTCTGCGGCCTCTGAAAGAGCAAGACTCAGTCCCCACAGCAGGCCCAGACTGTGGCCCTGTCCCATGTTGGGGGGCAATGTTCGCCCCCCAGTTTCTGTAAGCACTGGCCACCTCTGCTGTGTGGGCAACGCCACCTGGTTCTGCTGCTTCTGGGGATGCTGGGCTGACCAGGACGGTGAACAGCAGGCGGCCAGAGCCACCACCTGCTCACTCAGGACCCCAGGGGAGAAGGCAGCCACTGGACAAGAGGAGGGTCCCCAGCTGCACCCCCAGGAAGCCAGGGAGGAGGCTGTCCAGTGGTCAGGCACAGGCACCAGCAGGGGCAGCCCAGAGCCAGGGCCCGGGCAGAGCCCACGAGGCTTCCACCACTGAGCCAGTTCTGCTTCTCCTGGTTGCTGGTGTTGGCCAGGGAAGTGGCTTTTCATCCTGAGAAAGACAAGTTTGTGCCGACACCGCCCGCTGTAGAAAACTGCTTCCTTATCCTGATGTAACAATCTGGAGGCTGGGCGCGGTGGCTCACACCTGTAATCCCAGCACTTTGGGAGGCCGAGGTGGGCAGATCATGAGGTCAAGAGATCGAGACCATCCTGGCCCACATGGTGAAACATCGTCTCTACTAAAAATACAAAAATTAGCCGGGTGTGATGGTGTGTGCCTGTAGTCCCACCTACTCAGGAGGCTGAGGCAGGAGAATCGCTTGAACCTGGGAGGCGGAGGTTACAGTGAGCCAAGATGGCGCTGCCACACTCCAGCCTGGCAACAGAGCGAGACTCCGTCTCAAAAAGAAAAAGAAACAATCTGGAAAGCCCCCGCTCCATGTGATCTCCCAGATACCTGCCTGATACCAGATACCATTTCCCCATTTCCTTGTCCGAACGTGAGGGCTCCCTGACTTGTCAATGGAGCAGAAAGTCAGTTGATCCCTCGGGGCCTGCCTGTTCCCAGCTCCCAGCTGGTGGCGGCTGGCGGGACTGGGCTGTCTGCTCTGCGAACTGCTACCCTTGCCTCTGCACTGCTACTAGCACTGCCCAGGTGGAGCTGCTGACAGCCCAGCCTCTGTCTCTGTGACCCCAGGTGCCCAAGGAGCACTTGGACCAAAAGCCTGTGGGGGGGACAAAGATGGACAAGGACATTTTGGCACGCACGGTGGCGCAGCTGCGGAGCAGGGTGGTCCAGAAGCAGGTGGTGTTGGGGCGTGAGTTCCAAGGACGCCCCTTCAACAGCAAGCCGGAGCTCCTCCACTTCAAGGTGAGCCCACGGCAGGGCCAGGCAGCAGCGTGGTCAGCGAGGAAGCCCCTGCCACAGCCTCACCCCTGGCATCTTCTGCTTTTTAACCCTGGAAAACCCAGGGGCTTCCTCAGAAGGTGCAGGCCAATCTCGGCCCTTCTCTCCAAGGAGGCAGAGGGAGAAGGTCCTGTCTCCATGGAGGGCTGGACGCCAGTCCAAGGGGTAAATCCTGGGCAATGGGGGTGCTGTGGCCCTGAAAGGCCTGTGCCACTCGGGACAGGATGTAGTGGGGCAGGGTGGGGACACGTGAGGCTGAGGTTGGTGCCTGGATGCCTCCGCCAAACTCTGCAAGACAGAGCGGGCCATGAGCTACTGTGTTTTACCCCAGCTCAAGCCCATCCATGGAGTCAGGGGCCCACCCTGGAGCCACCATGTTGGAGCCTTGCCTCTCACTGTCACCCGCATGGTCCCAGCAAGGGCTGTCCTGCCTCAAGTGGCAAAGGCTCTCCCGAGACAGGTTCCCACACCCCGTTCTTCATGCACCCCAGGGGCCTCTCTGATTCTGGGGAAAATCCTTGGGAACTGTCCCCTGGGAACCTCTCCATGGCTGGCAAACCCTCACCGGTGGTTACCCTGAGGCAAAGCCTCTTGGTGCTCACCACACAGCCCCCTCTGACCCACTCTGAAGCTGCTGCCTTGGCCTTTCCCCAGGACTTTGATGTTGGCAAAGTGTACAAGAAAAAGATCACGCTGGTGAACACCACCTACACGATCAGCTACTGCAAGCTGGTGGGCGTGGAGGAGCATCTCCAGGACTTCATCCACGTAGAGTGAGAGGACGGCTCAGACAGGGAGGGCCACAGGCAGGGACAGCGGGGGTTCAGAGCTCCCTTCAGGTTCAGAACATGAAGGGCATAAGCCCTCAGGTCCAACTTTCACGAGGATTCTGTAGAGGGGCTCCTCTGTCTTCTTGTGTCAAAGTCATCCATACCAACCCCATTTCCCTTCACGAATGGCTGAAGCTTTTGTCCGGCTGCCTGCGTTTCCTTTTGTCTTTGTTTTGTTGTTGTTTTTGTTGTTTGAGACAGAGTCTCACTCTGTCACCAGGCTGGAGTGCAATGGTGTGACCTCAGCTCACTGCAACCTCCACCTCCTGGGTTCAAGAGATCCTCCTTCCTCAGCCTCCCCAGTAGCTGGGGTTATTGGCACACACCACCACTCCCAGCCAATTTTGTATTTTTAGTGGGCACAGGGTTTCACCATGTTGCCCAGGCAGTTCTCAAACTCCTAACCTCAGGTGATCCATCTGTCCTGGCCTTTCAGAAAGTGCTGGGATTACAGGCATGAGCCTCGGCACCTGGCCAGAGTTTCCTTTTGTATTGTTATGTTTTGATGTCGACCATTCTAATAACTTTCCCTGGAAATTAGCTAGTCTGTTCAGTGTCAGGGTTAAAGCTGTCTTCATGCCAGCACTCTTCCATGAATTATGGCTACTTTTACCCTGTAACAACGTCTCTGTTTTTCCCTTGCAGACTCCACTTAGGTGTATGTTGGATCCTCTTTGCTGTCTTTCTTGTCTGCTGTTTTCCTTCCAGTTGCCTTCAATACTTTCTGCTTTCTTTTTCTTTCCTTTTTATTTTTTATTTTTTGAGATGGAGTCACACTCTGTCACCCAGGCTGGAGTGCAGTGGTGCCATCTCAGCTCACTGCAACCTCTGCCTCCCAGGTTCAAGTGATTCTCTTGCCTCACCCTCCTGGGTACCTGGGGCTACAGGTTCCCACCACCACGTCCAGCTAATTTTTGTATTTTTAGTACAGATGGGATTTCACCATGTTGGCCAGGCTGGTCTCGAACTCCTGACCTCAGGTGATCCACCTGCCTCCACCTCCCAAGTGCTGGGATTACAGGCGTGAGCCACTGCACCTGGCCGAACTTACTTTATTTTTAAGAAAGTTCTTTCTCTTCTGCTTCCTGTTTCCGGCCAGTTTTCTGTTTGTGGATGGGTTTATAGGTGCAGGATGGGTTTCAGATTCCCAGTTTAGGAATTTCCACTTCCACTAGCATTGTGAACTGTGAAGTGCAGCTTCTGAAATGAGGCTCGACAAGGGCAGGACCCTAATTCCCCGCCCCCTTGCTGCCCAGGCTCCAGAGGGGCCTCCCCTTCTCCCACCAGGTGCCTTCCTGAGGCTGCCCCCATGGGCTTGTGAGCTCTGATGGCCTCTCCCTGAGATCCACACAAACTGGAACTTAGTATTTTCCCATGGAAGCTGTGTGATGTTTCTTTGGGGAGCGGATTTCAGGCCTGGCTTAAGGTCTCTGTTCCCCTCTCCTTCGTCTCTTCCCAGAAGTTTTTCAGACCCTCATAGCTCCCTGGGAAGGCGGGTGTAGAGAAAGCTTGCTGGAGATTGGTGTTTATTTTTTGCCTTAGGGTTAATTTTAAGTCTGGGGGGTTCTCTGTCTTCGAGTTGGGTGACAGCATGGATTTCTGCAGCTCACCTGTGTCTCTTATTGATCTGTGTGGTTTCTACAGGGCGCGTGCAGAAGTGCGTTTAGGTGGCCACTGTGCTCTCAGCTGCCAAGGCACTCCTCCCACGCTGGGATGAGAATTCCTTATGCACAGTCACTCTCTCTCCACAGGTTGAGGCCACCACTCTCCTGCCTTCTGTCTCTATTGCTGTAGTGGGAGGTGGCCTCAGTCCAGGGGTTGGTTTTTTGGAGGATTCATGGCTTCCTACCTGCTTGCTCCAAGATTCTCTCTTCCTTGACATCCCACAGCTCCAGCTGCGTCTGGTGTGGCTGATTTTTCTTTTTCTTTTTCTTTTTTTTTTTTAGACAGAGTGTCACTCTGTTGAGAGGCTGGAGTGCAGCAGCATGATCTCGACTCACTGCAACCTCCACCTCCCGGGCTCAAGTGATTCTCCTGCTTCAGCCTCCCAAGTAGCTGGGATTACAGGCGCCCAGCTACTTGGGAGGCTGAAGTGCCCAGCACCACGCCTGGCTAATATTTGTATTTTTACTAGAGATGGGGTTTCACCATGTTGGCCAGGCTGGTCTCGATCTCTTGACCTCATGATCCGCCCGCCTCAGCCTCCCAAAGTGCTAGGATTACAGGTTTGAGCCACCGCTCCTGGCCTGGTGTGGCTGATTTTTCTTAGACCTCACTGTCCTCGTGAATCTGAAGATTCAGATCTTTGAACAATTTTGGGGCCTCCTCAGCCCCAGCTCTCCGGGCACGGCCCCTCCCCAGCACATTCTCGTGCTCTGTCCCTTCCTCTTCTGAAAGCTCCCCATCCGGCTGGGAATCTCTCGTCTCTTTTCCGCGTTGGGCGGCGCTCTGGGTACCACTTGCCCCCGCACTGCTTCTGATCAGCATTGGAATTGCTCACGAGTTTCCTCCTCCGCTGCCCTGGCCCCCGTTTCTGAGAATGTCGAGCTCCGTTTTGGATGAGTCTGCATTCCTCCAGTTTCTCGTTCTTTCCTCACGTCTGGAATTCTCTGCTTCCGTCTCTTACCATCTTGCCTCTTGCCTTCTCATGTCTCCACTCCACACATCCGTCGTCTGAAGGGTTTGGAGCTCGCCCCGCGCTCTGCTCTGCTGGTCTGCTGGAGGCACAGGCGTCCGTCCTCTCGGATTCTGCTCCTCTCCCTGGCGGGCTCCCTCCCGGGCTCTGCGCAGTCCTCACCAACGCCCTTCCCTCCTGATCCACTGGAGGAGCTTTGGGTTTGCTCCTGCTGGTGCCATGGGAACGTTGCCAGCCAAGAACACACTGTTGTATGACATTTTACCTTGTGCATTTCTAAAGCAAGCACATTGGGTAAAATCCAACCTTGTGAAATAGGCCTGGCGTCAGGAGTTCTTGGGGAGATGCTCCCTCACCCATATCTGGGCCAAGACAGACCCGCTCCCTCCAGTGCTCTGAGCAGCTGGGGCTATTTTTCTGGTTCTTTCCCTGGAAGGGGTTGAGAGGGTCCTGACTGGCTCAGGGGTCCGAGTTCCAGCTCTCTTCCTGGCCCCTGCCCCCACATTGGTATCAAAGCCCTAGAGCCCTGGTCCAAGGCCTGGCACCTGTGCCCAGGGGAACTGCAGACTCACTGACCCACCATGTCCCATTTCCTAGCAGTTGGCCCCGGGAACTTGCCTCACACCTTCATTCCTTAACTCACTCATTCCACAAATGTTTGCACGCGCTAGAGCGTCCTCCACCTGCCGAGTACTGAGGGCAGCAGGGGACGCAGCAGACCCAGCACTCCCCAGAAGGAAGGCAGCTGGGCAGGGGTGCAGAGCCAGGAAGGGGAGGAGCCCGGGAGCTCCAACCTGACTGCACTCCTGGCGGGGAGACAGGCATTGGTCCTCTGCAGCTCTGATCCTGTGTGCTGTGGGTCATGTTCTGACTGCGCTCCGGGCAGGGAGGCAGGCGTTCACCCTCTGCCGCTCTGACCCCGTGTGCTATGGGTCATGTCCCGCAGCTTCAACCCCCCTGGTCCCCTGTCAGCCGGAATGTCCTGCGAAGTGCTTGTCACCTTCAAGCCCATGGTGAGTCGAAGGGGCCATCAGTTCCCTTGAAGGAGAGGTGGTGATGGGTGGAGCCTGCTGCTCCGTGGTGGAGGGAGGATGCACTCGGCCTCTCCGTGAGGGTCGCTCGGGTCCCGGTTTTGCTGTTTTATTTCTAGTCCTTCGGTCGGGCAGAACCACAGCGCAGCTCCCCTGAGCTAGTGGCCGAGGGTGCACACTCTCGGGTCTGAGTCGGGAGGCTGGGATGTTCCAGGAAGCCTGCGGATGTATGGCCATCCTGGGGCACCCTGAGCCGACTCCTTCCCCAGGGTCTCCCACGCCTGGCAGGTGGCAGGTGGCCTCAGCCCAGGCAGTGTTGAGGCAGCCACGGCCTGTGTAACAGGCTAAAGTTACAGAAAGACTGGGCGTGGTGGCTCATACCTGTCATTCCGGCACTTTGGGAGGCCAAGGCAGGAGGGTTGCTTGAGCCCAGGAATTCGAGACCAGCCTGGGCAACATAACAACACCCCGTCTCTACAAAAAATACAATTGGCCAGGTGTAGTGGTGCATATCTGTAATCCCAGCTACTGGAGAGGCTGAGGTGGGAGGATCGCTGGACCCCAGGTGGGGGTGGGTGGAGGGAGGTTGCAGTGAGCCGAGAAGGTGCCGCTGCACCCCAGCCTGGCCGACAGAGCCAGATCCTGTCCAAAAAAAAAAAGTTACAGAAGTTTATGGTAGTTGAGGTTGTTTTATTTTCTCAGATAAACAAAGACCTAGAAGGAAATGTCTCATTTTTGGCTCAGACGGGCGAGTTTTCAGTTCCACTGAAATGTTCAACAAAGAAGTGTTCGGTGAGTTCAAGGTCTCGAAGCTGGCACTGCCTGGGGCTTCCTGGCTGGGCACCCTGGTGGGGGACGGCATCTCCTGGGAGGCAGGGGCTAGCAGGGAGCTCCCATCTCCACCAGGGGCCGGAGCCCCTCCATCCAGCAGCAGCACAGGTGGGCCTGAGCCGGGCCTTGGGTAGGGGTCTCTAACATGGAGCGCTCTGGAAAAACCAGACAAACCCTGCTTGGCGTGGAGCCTGGCCTGCAGGCCCACAGCTCAGAGGAACCCGCCACGTTCGTGTGTGTTGGAAACAGACGCTCGGTGCCGCAAAGACAGAGGATCTTTCAGCAACGCAACTTTTACTTCCTGGACTGTAGGAAGGGCACCCTCACTAGCCATCTTGTCATGAGTACAATGAACAAAGGAAAACACACAAATTTATCCCTTATGCATTTGGGGTTGCCCTTACTGCTGTGTCTGATCTCTGTTGGCTGGAGCCAGACCTCACAATCTAAACTAAAACCCAATTGGCTGACATCTTAAAACTTTTTATTCTATTTATTTATTTATTTTAATTTTTAAATTTATTTTTCTTTATGTCAGTCAGTTGACCTCAATCACCTGACCTCATGATCCACCCACCTCTGCCTCCCAAAGTGCTTGAATTACAGGCATGAGCCACTGCGCCCAGCCAAAACTTTTCTAAGTAGGTAAAAGCAATGGAGAGCTGGGACATGCCTGTGAGCACAGATATCTTGGTTAAAGTACAAGGACACAGAATGTACTATGTGCCTGTAAGCACAGCACGTGTAATGGCCACGTAGGATAGGGCTTAACAAAGCGTTATTAGCACACTTATTCTTTAACAAGGAAAGAAACTTTTAAAAGGAACCTTTCTACTTCCCACAACGTGAGAAGGTGCTGGTCCTTCCTGCAGCTCTTGGGGGCCCCCCTTCATTCTTTTGAATTATGAAAACTTTCAAGCCTAGTGGGAAACAGAGAGAACAGCACACTGAGGCTTGACCCACCTGCAACGCGGAGCCCCATCGTCGGCCACGGACACTGTGGCTTTTTCCACCCACTGCTCTATCTGTCGTTGCTGATCCACTTCAGAGTACATTAGTAAAATCGTAACACTCAGCCGAGCACAGTGGCTCACACCTGTATTCCAGCACTTTGGGAGGCCGAGGCGGGCAGATCATGAGGTCAGGAGATTGAGACCAGCCTGGCCAACATGGTGAAACCCCGTCTCAACTAAAAATACAAAAATTAGCTGGGTACGGTGGCGGGTGCCTGTAATCCCAGCTACTTGCAAGGCTGAGGTATGAGAATTGCTTGAACCCAGGAGGCGGAGGTTGCAGTGAGCCAAGATCGCGCCACTGCACTCCAGCATGGTGACAGAGTGAGACTCCATCTCAAAAAAAAAAAAAAAAATTGTAGTATTCAACACTCCACCCTTAGAAACGTCAACATGCATCTCCAGTAAACCAGGGACCCATTCATCATTGTCTATCCCGAGTAATCAGCTCACACCGGACCTGCCGCACGGCAAATGGCTCCTGGCTCAGCTGTGAGTGTGAGGCCCTGCGGCCGACCCCATCCAGGCTAGACTCCAGGGCTGTGGCTACAGCAGCACAAGCATCTCCTGGAAGCCGGTGGGGACGTCACAGCTCCTAAGAATTCATGGGCTAAGGCAGGTCCTACGGCCAGGGCCTGTGACGGGGAAGCAGGGAGAGGCCCATTCTCGCACTGGAGGAGGAACAAGCAGGGCAGGTGAAGGGCAGAGACTGAGCTCTGTGTCTGCCCAGCAAGATCAGCAGACGCCCTCACGGCCACCCATGATCTGGACCCCGCTGCCCCCAAGCCACCTTTGATGAGCACCCGAGTTACTTTCTCCATCTTCCTTCTTCACTGCGTGTTACTGTGGGGCAGGGATGAGTCACTGTTGGTGGCTTTTTCTCTGTTTCTTCGTGGATTCGCTGATGCTTACATGTTTGGTGTGCTCCAGTCACTTCAGTCTCCTTTCCTCTTGGCACTCAAGTGGCCTCGCCATGGCCCTGGCAGCTGCGGCCCCACTTGGGCTCCTGCAGGGACTGCCGCCGTCCTAGGGCACCCGAGCAACCCCTTGCCCCATGGCCTCCGCCTTCTCCTCCGAGTGGTGGCAGTTGGTCGCGGCGGCACTCCGCTGTGTGGGCTGGTGGTGAGTTAAGACTCAGGCCCAGGACATGGAGCACCAGGGCTGGAGGCATTGAGGAGTCCTGTCCCGCAGATGGCCAGGCCTCGGCTCCTTCCCGCTCAGCGTGGGAGCACGGCAGGAGTCTGGTGCTGGCCGGTTCTGCTCCGGATCCGCGTCAAGGAGCACGTGCGTGGCATGGCCCCAGGTGTCCAGCCGAGCAGCCCGGCCTCTCCCGACCCTTCGGCTCCCCTGTGCAAGGCCTTGCTTCTCCAGGGAGCTTCCTGGCCAGGGGCTGTAAAAACCCACCGAGCAAGGTGGCTCACACCTGGAATCCCAGCACTTTGGGAGGCCGGGGGGGGGTGGACCAAGAGGTCACAAGATTGAGACCATCCTGGCCAACATGGTGAAACCCCGACTCTACTAAAAATAGAAAAAAAAAATTAGCTAGGCATAGTGGCGGGCGCCTGTAGTCCCAGCTACTCAGGGGGCCAAGGCAGGAGAATCACTTGAACCCAGGAGGCAGAGGTTGCAGTGAACTGAGATCACACCACTGCACTCCAGCCTGGGCGACAGAGCAAGACTCTGTCTCAAACAAACAAACAAAACAGTAAAACACCTGTCTGAGCAAAGGGGCCAGCAGGACCCCGGCGCACGGGAAGGAGGCGGCCTCCTTTGGCTGGATCCTGGCCGGTCTCTGCTAACCACATCCATTTGTATCGGCGGCCCCCAGTCCTGGGTCTGGAGCAGGAGCACAGAGTGAAGAGTCTCCAGACCCCCAAACTCAGAGCCCAGAAAAGCCTCCCAAGAAGGGGCCCTTGGGCAGAGCCAAGGTTCAACCCCGGCCTGCATCCTTAGCCAGTGCCCAACGTTTCTGTGGCTCATGGACCACGGCGGGCGTGGTGAGGCACCGCCACAGAGGGCATGCTCCTGTTCTGGAAGGACATGCCCTGGGTACATGCATCCCAAGTGTGGCTGATCTTGCCCAGGAGTGACTTCCAAAGTCCCATGCCCAGTCTCCTTGTCTGGGCCCTACGTCCTGGCCCTGCATCCTCCCAGTGAACCTGGTTACTCTCGGCAAGGGGGGTCCTGCTTAATGTTCTTGAAACCAGAGTCACGTGTGCCTGGTCATGAGCGACACGTCTCTTTTCTGGACTGAAATGCGTACTGGGCTGTGCAGTGCACAGCACACAAGTGCTGGCCGCAGCCCTGCCTGGAGCCCTGTGCAGGCCTCACACTGGGCACCCTGTGGCCCTGCCTGTGGCCCTGGGTTCACTCTGTGTCCTCTGGCAGCTGTCCCTGGACAAGGAGCTCATCGACTTCGGCAGCTACGTGGTGGGAGAGACCACATCTCGGACCATCACGCTGACCAACGTTGGGGGCTTAGGCACGAGTTTCAAGATCCTGCCAGCTTCAGAGCCCTGTGAGATGGACGACTCCCAGTCCATCCTGAAATTAGTGAGTGTGTGCTCAGCCAAGGGGAAGTGTGGGGCCCTACCCCCCAAATGTAGTCCCATGTGGGTGAATGGGGGTGACGATATGAGGGTGTCTACAGTGGGCCTGGAAGGACAAGGGGAGTGCTGGGCCTCCTCAAATCGGCCTAAGCAGAAGAGGCAAGCTTCCGTAGGACACCTGTAATCACCTGGCCTCAGGGGCGGCGGCAGCAGGACACCCCCTTTCTCAGGCATGCAGTGGCAGGGGCACTGGCCAGCAGCTCCAGGCCCAAGGGCGCCAGGAGACCCAGCCTTCCCCTGATAGGTCTCTGAAGCCCCAGAGGTTGTGGGGGTGGGAGGGCTGGACAGGTGCACTCCATGGCCGTAGCTGCACCTGTTCCAAATGTGAGTGTGTCTTGTCCTATCAGAGGCAGGGGTGGCCCAGGGCTCAGGCGGAGGGAAGGCTCAGCCTACAGCCAGCCAAGGAGGAAGGTGGGTCGGAAGACATGGCTCCACACTCCCAGGCTGGGGCAGCACAACCCTGCCCACCCGGCCTACAGGGAGGGAGGCTGAGGGGTGACCCTGAGCCTCTGGGCAAGCTGCTACTGTGACCCACAACCAGGAAGGGTGAGACGGGGTTGGGGGCAGCAAGGAGACAGCTGAGGGGCCACGCTGGAGCCAGGCCTCAGCCCCCCATGCCTGTCGTCCCGGGAGTCCTGGCCGCTGAACAGGAAAAGGAGGTGGGAAACGTGGAAGCTGGATGCTGTGTTGTCCCCTCAGAGTAGCCTCCTGACCTATGAAGATAAAAGCGTGTATGACAAAGCCGCCACCAGCATCTCTGAGCAGCCGCTGGAGGGCCACGAGTTCTCCCAAGTGGACCTGCAGAGCCGGAGGGGGGCGGAGAAGCTGGACCAGTTGCAGGAGGAGGCAGAGCCCGAAGGTGAGCCGGCAGTGAGGGCCCCAGGGCAGCATTTCAGGGCCCTGAGAGGCCAGGGGAGGGCTGGAAAGTAGACAACCTTCCCAGGCCTTCGATGGTAAGTGGCGGTCAAGCAAGAAAACACTCATATGTGCCACTAAGTGTTGTTTTGGAGCAGATTGAAATGTGCACTCACGTTGACGCTAACAGACAGCTCGAAGGCCACCTCCAGCACTGGCCCAGCAGGCGCCCACGGGTGGGAATAGGCTCCTCAGTGCTCTCTGGACGGGCTGCACTTGGGGGGCTTCTGTCTACCTCTGCAGCTGTGTTAGATTCACACCAGCGGGAAGGAGTGCCGAGATACAGGAGGGCCTTGCCCTCCCTGTGTCTCCTACCCTCCCGCCTCCACCTCCAGGAAGCACTCGTCTCCTCCTCGCCTCTCTGGAAAGTTTTCCCACACGAGTGGAGATCCGGGAACCACCGGCTCCTCCTGTGTGTCTTTGTGGGTTGCGTGTTCCACGCCCTGGAGCTGGCGGGTTCACTGCAGCGTGTGCCAGCCTCAACCCCTGCGTGCGGTGTTTCCTTTCCTGAGCAAGCCTCAGGTTCAAGATCCTCCTCCCTCCAGCGCACGCTTGGGAGCAATTGTGGTGCACGCTGCTGCGTACGCAGCCACTCTGCACCCCGCTCCAGCCCATGTGTGAGTTCCCGTGGTGCGTGAGTTCCCATGGTGTGTGAGTTCCCACAGGGCACGTGCTGGGGTTTCCCACCTGTATCACAGGGCATAGCCAGCCTTGCTGGCACTAGCTAATATCAAAGTGAGTTCTTTTTCTATTTATTTTATTGAGACAGGGTTTCACTGTGTCACCCAGGCTGGAGTGCAGTGATGCAGTCATGGGGTCAAGCAATCCTCCTGCCTCGGCTCCTGGGTACCTGAGACTACAGGCGCACACCACCACACCTAGCTAGTTTTTATATTTTTTGTAGAGACAGGGTTTCACCATGTCTCCCAGACTGGTCTTGAACTCCTGAACTCACACTGTCTGCCTACCTCAGCCTCCCAAAGTGCTGGATTACAGACGTGAGCCACCTCACCCAGCCCACCAAGTTCTTTGTTGACCAGGCAGGTCTCAAACTCCTGACCTCAGGTGATACCCCCACCTCGGCCTCCCAAAGTGCTAGGATTACAGGCATAAGCCACCACACCTGGCCATCAAGCAGCTTTTCTGAACCATGGGAACTAACCATTGGAAGACTTCATTAAAATGTGGAGTCTCCCAAAACTATGGATCAATGCAATTCCAACCAAAATTCCAGGAAGATTTTTTAATGAAAATTGACAAGCTTATTGTAACATTTATATGGAAATCCAAAGGACCTAAAGTGACCAAAACAACTTTGAAAAAAAAAATTTTGAGGAGAGATCCAAGATGGCTGATCATTAACAGTTCAGGATTGTAGCTCCCAGTGAAAGCGCAGAGAACGAGAGGACACCACACTTTCAGACGAATTTTTGTCACTCACGGACCAGAAGATTCCCAGTGGAGGGGCCCCACGGGTCGCCAGCGTGACTCTTGTGGCCGGCGCAGCAGTTTTGCCAGTGCCTCAGTGCAGCAGCTCTTCATGCAGAGTAAAGGGGAGGAGATTCCCAGGCAGAAGAGCACCATCAGTCTTATCGCTGCTGTTTTGGCCAGCGCAGTGGGTTGCTCGGATTCCAGCGCTGGGAATCATTAAACTGGGCGTCCACTCAGAAACCCAACTAGAAAGGTGGTAATCATAAAGACGACAGATGGATAAATTTACAACAAAGGGAAGAAACCAGCCTAAAAAGGCTGAGAATACCCAAAATCAGAACCCCTCTCCCTCTACAGGGCATTACAATTCCTCGTCAGCAACGGATCAAGCCCTGATGGAGAAGGACTGTGTTCCATTATCAGAAGTAGGCTTCAGAAGGTGGATGATAAGAAACTTCTGGGAGTTAAAAGAACTTGTTCTAACCCAATGTAAAGAAACTAAGAACTTTGAAAAAAGGTTTGACAAAATGCTAACAAGAATAGACAATATAGAGAGGAATATAAATGAACTAATGGAGTTGAAAAACACAACACAAAAACTTAGTGAAATATGCACAAGTTTGAATAGCCGAATTGATCAAGCAGAAGAAAGGATATCAGAGGTCGAAGACCTACTTAATGAAATAAAACGAGAAGACAAGAATAGAGAAAAAAGGATAAAAAGGAATGAGCAAAGTCTCCAAGAAATATGGGACTATGTGAAAAGGCCTAATTTACGTTTTATAGGTGTACCTGAATACAACCAAGAGAATGAATCCAAGCTGGAAAATGCTCTTCAGGATATTATTCAGGAAAACTTTCCAAATCTAGCAAAGCAGGACAATATTCAACCCCAGGTAATACAGAGAACACCACAAAGATATTCCTCAAGAAGAGCAACCTCAAGGCACATAATTGTTAGATTCACCAGGGTTGAAATGAAGGAGAAAATACTAAGGGCAGCCAGAGAGAAAGGTCAGGTTACCCACAAAGGGAAGTCTATCAGACTTACAGCAGATCTCTCAGCAGAAATCCTGCAAGCCAGAAGAGAGTGGGGGCCAATATTCAACATCCTTAAAGAACAGAACTTTCAGCCCAGAATTTCATATACTGCCAAACTAAGCTTCACAATCGAAGGAAAAATAAAATATTTTATGAACAAGCAAGTACTCAGAGATTTTATTACCACCAGGCCGGCTTTACAAGAGCTTCTGAAAGAAGCATTATACATAGAAAGGAACAACCAGTATTAGCCTTTCTAATATATACCAAAAAGTAAAGAGCATCAACATCAACAAGCATCAACATGAAGAAGAATTTGCATCAACATGAAGAAGAATTTACATCAACGAATGGATAAAATAGCCAGTTAACGTCAAGTAGCAGTAACCCTAAATTTAAGTCGACTAAATCCCCCAATCAAAAGATACAGCCAAATCCCAACGGTATGCTACATCCAGACCCATTTCACATCCAAAGATACACAAAGTCTTAAAACAAAGGGATGGAGAAAGATTTACCAACCAAATGGAAAGCAAAAATAAATAAATAAATAAAAAGCAGGAGTCGCAATTCTCTCATCTGATAAAATAGATTTCAAAGCAACAAAGATATAGTGGTAAAAGGATCAATGCAACAATAAGAGCTAATGATCCTAACACCCAGATACATTAGACTCATAAAGAGACTTAGACTCAACGAGACAGAAAATTAATAAAGATATCCAGGACTTGAACTCAGATTCGGAACAAGTAAACTCAATAAATATTTATAGAGCTCTCCATTTTAAATACACAAAATATACATTCTCCACCTTAAATACACAAAATATTGATCGGCCATTATTAATACCCATTTTTAGAATAAAACTATATTCCCGTTCTCTCTCCATCTTTTTCTTCCTCTCCTTCTCTCCTTTTTTTTTCCTTTCTTTAAAAAAAAAGAAAAAGAAAAAAAAATTTCCATGCCTGTAATCCCAGCACTTTGGGAGGCTGAGGTGGGTGGATCATGAGGTCAAGAGATCAAGACCATCCTGGCCAACACTGTGAAATCCGTCTCTACTAAAAATACAAAACTTAGCTGCTCAGGAGACAGAGGCAGGAGAATCACTTGAACCAGGAAGTCGGAGGCTGCAGTGAGCCGAGATCGCGCCACTGCACTCCAGCCTGGCAACAAAAGAAAAACATGTCAAGGACTTGCACTACCTGATTTCGAGGTTACTATAAAGTACAGTGACAAGCAGTGTAGTGCTAGAGAAGAGAGACCCCATGGAACAAGAGAGTCCAAAAATGGACACACACTGTTAGCCACCTGGTTTTGGACAGAGGGGCAAAGGTAATTGCTTGGAGAAAGAATGGTCTTTTCAACAAGTGAGGCCATGGCAATTGGATAAGCATAAGTCCCCCGATGCAGCTGGCTCTGTGTCGCCACCCAGATTCCATCTCAAACTGTAACCCCACGAATAGAGAGAGGGCTCTGTAATGCTCAGGTGTCGAGGGAGGAAAGCGGTTGAATTGTGGGAGCGGCTTCCCCCATGCTGGTCTCATGCTAGTGAGTCGATTCTCATGAGCTCTGATGATTTTATAGAGCAAAAAGTCTGACACTAGCAGGCGCTGGGAGGAGCAGCTGGAACCCTAATGCCGCCCCCGGGAACACAGAATGGGAAACGTTCTGCAGCAGAGCCAGACACCCAGCAAGCCCGCTCCTCAGTATCCAGCAAGAGGAGTGAACACTTAGATTCACATGAAAACCTACATGTGAATGTTTGTAGCGGGCTTATTTGCAATTGGTGGAAACCAAAGACCCTAATGTCCCACACCTGGGGAGTGGACAGAGACACCATGGGGTCCCTGCCACGTGGCGCCGCTGAGCAGCAAACAGGCACAGACCTTTGAGAGCGGCAGTGGTGTGGGCCAGTCTCCAGTGCATCCTGCTAAGGGAAGGAACTCAGACACAAAAGACTGCAAGCTCTGTGACTCCATCTTTGTGACATTCTGGAAAATAAATATTTTGCCTAAAAAAGGCAAAAGTATAGAGACAGAAAACAGATGACCGGGCCGGGAGGGCTGCCTCACGCCTGTAATCCAAGCACTTTGGAGACCAAGGCAGGCAGATCACCTGAGGTCGGGAGTTCAGGACCAGCCTGACCAACATGGTGAAACCCCGTCTTTTAAAAAAAAAAAAAATAGGGAGCCACGGTGGCTCCAGCCAGTTGTCCTGGCACTTGAGGAGGCGAGGCTATGAGTTCAAGGCCAACCTGAGCAACATAACAAGCTCTCATTGATTTAAAAAAAAAAAAATTTGAAGCCAGGCATGGTGGCTCAAGCCTGTAATCCCAGCACTTTGGGAGGCCAAGGCGGGTGGATCACTAGGTCAAGAGATCGAGACCATCCTGGTCAATATGGTGAAACCCTGTCTCTACTAAAAATACAAAAAATTAGCTGGGCATGGTGGCGCATGCCTGTAATCCCAGCTACTCAGGAGGCTGAGGCAGGAGAATTGCCTGAACCCAGGAGGCGGAGGTTGCGGTGAGCCGAGATCCCACCATTGCACTCCAGCCTAGGTAATAAGAGCAAAACTCCATCTCAAAAAAAAAAAAAAAAAAAAAAAATAGATGACCAGTTGCTGGGGCAGGGGGCCCGGGAGACGTTGGGGGAGGGGACTGCTCAGTGTGTTGATTGCTGTGATGCATGTACAAGCACGTGCATTTGTCGAAACTTGCCGAAAGTACTGCAGTTGGCCAGGCACAGTGGCTTATGCCTGTAATCCCAATGCTTTGGGAGGCCAAGCAGATCACTCGAGGTCAGGAGTTGGAGACCAGCCTGGCCAATGTGGCAAAACCCCATCTCTACTAAAAATACAGAAAATTTGCCAGACGTGGTGGTGGGCACCTATAATCCCAGCTACTTGGGAGGCTGAGACACTTGAATCTCTTGAACCCAGGAGGCAGAGGTTGTGGTGAGCCGAGATCGCGCCACTGCACTCCAGCCTTGTTGAGGGAGGAAGACTCTGTCTCAAGAAAAAAAAAAAAAGAAAGTATTGCAGTCTTGCGTGATTCAGATACAGGTATTATCAGACATCAAAAATCAAATAAGCATGCTTAATACATTGAAAAATACTACATGGTGAGACCCCAACTCTACAAAAAAAAATTAGCCCGTCATGGTGACATGCATGTGTAGTCCCAGCTGCCCAAGAGGCTGAGCTGGGAGGATCACTTGAGCCTGGGAAGTTGAGGCTGCACTGAGCCATGATCACGCCACTGCATGGTAGCCTGGGTACCAGTGAGATCCTGCCAAAAGAAAAAAAGGAAGAAAAGAAAATACTAGAAAAGGAGGCCAGGCCACGGTAGCCCATGCCTATAATCCCAACTCTTTGGAAGGCCAAATGCTTGAGCCCAGATGTTTGGGCTCAGCCTAAGCAAGGTAATAAGACCCTGTCTCTACAAAAACAGAAACAAAACAATTAGCCAAGTGTGGTGGTACACAGCTGCAGTCACCTGAAACCAGGCGGTCAGAGCTACAGGGAGCACTGACTGCACCCCTGCCCTTCAGCCTGGGCAACGGAGTGAGGCCTCGTCTCTAAAAACAAAAAAGCTGCTGGCCGCAGAGTCTGACCACCTGGGCTGTGGTGACTTCTGAGGCAGCCAGAGTGGAAGGCAGCTGACCCAGCCACGCCCCTTCCACAGTCAGACCCGGGGGCCGTTGGCCGGCGGTGGCTCACACCTGTAATCACAGCACTTTGGGAGGCCGAGGCAGGTGGATCACTTGAGGCCAGGAGTTCGAGAACAGCCTGGCCAACATAGTGAAACCCCATCTCTACTAAAAATACAAAAATTAGCTGGGCATGATGGCAGGTGCCTGTGATCCCAGCTACTCTGGAGGCTGAAGCAGGAGAATCACTTGAACCCGGGAGGTGGAGGTTTCAGTGAACTGAGATCACACATTGCACTCCAGCCTGGAGGACAGAACGAGACTCCGTCTCAAAAAAAAAAAAAGAACTGGGGGCCCTGCGGCCTTTACAGCTCCAGACCCCAGTAGTGATGCCTGCCTCAGAGTCGTCATCTGCTCCTGAAGAGCCCTGCCATGCATACACTAAGCCCAGGACCTGCTCTGGCATGCCCACCGGGGCTCCCTATGGTGACCTGGCCTGGCCAGCAGCCCAGCTGCTCTGACCCCACCTGGCAGCGCAATAGAGGCCAAAGGAGAACACCCACCTGCACATGGCCACTCAAATGGCATCTGTTCAGGTGCAAAGTCAGCAAAAAGTGCTGTTCAGACTTGCAAGGGAGCAGCTCCCAGGGCCTTGCTGACCAACGGCTGGCCAGTGCCCCCAGAACCCAGCGGCATGTGGCGACCAGGAGCCCGCAGTGGGGAAGCGCTGATCAGACATGCCAGCAGCTCGTGCCTGTAGTGAACATACCCCTGCAGCTGTGGGAACTTAGGTGACCAGATATGATCATGAGAGAATAAAAATCCCCGAAAGATTATATCGTTAGAATTTTTTGGACTTAGCTGGTCTTCCCACTCCGGCCTTTAATACCCTCGCCCAGGGGGGCTGGTGGATCATGAGGAAATGGAGCCCTTTGGGAGACGGCTTCCTGAGCCCTCCTGGCACGCTGGCCGCACCCTCTCTGGGCGTTGGTCTCCCAAGGGACCACATGGACGGTTCCACCATGTTCAAAAAGGACAGAGCCCAAGGTATGGGTTTGGGGGTGATAACCACGTCCCAAGGGGGCCTGGGCTGCGCTGCCTCCCCCGCCAACCCTCGCCTCTGGATGCCCCTTCTCTTCCAGAACCAGAGAGATTAACCACGACGATGCCTCCCAGCGAAGAACAGACGGAGATCACACTGGGGGAGGTCAGCCCGCCCAGCCTGCTCAGGCCTTAATATACCTGCCACAAGCCAAGACACCGCCTACCTTCCCCAGCCCCAGCTGCACCCCAACCCACTGTCCCCACCCCCAGGTGGCCTTTCCATCTAACCAGAGATAGGCTGGGCTCCGCCCACCAGGGACTTGCAGACTCCAGGCGTCTTGTACTGTGTCAGCTGGCATGGGGCCACCTCCTCCCCAAGCCAGGCAGTGCAGGAGCAAAGCCACAGCGTGTTTCCCGGGTGTGGGGCACTGGGTGAAATGGGGTAGACACTGGCAGTGGCCTCCTCAGCTGGGGCACATGAGCTCCTGAGCAGGGGAGGGTGTGGGGGAGGCTGCCTCCAGCTCCCCTGGCTGAGACCCTGCGACAGTAAGTCCTCCAAGGGCTGGGCCAGGCCCAGGACCTGTGTGGCCAAGTGGCCACTCGGAGACCCGGGTCCCACCACCTTCCAGCCTTGCAGCCTCGTGCCATTGTGAGGGCTGGGAGGGGATCCTGAAAGCCATGAAGCCTGGCTGACCCCTTGGTGTCTCCTCTGTGCAGATAACACAGGGGGACATTGGCCCCTTCAGCTCCATCAGGGTGCCCATCATCTTCACCCCAATGGTCCCAGGAGACATCCAAGCCAGGTTCAAGGTCACGTTCAAGAACCACCAGTGCCCAACAGTGAGTACTCTGCTGCCATGCCACGCACATCACCCCAGCATGCCAGGGGGCCCCTCCCTCCACAGCCTGGTGCAGTGACTGCCCTTGGCCGCAAGGTCACCATTTGCCCATGCTTGGATGGCCAGTTGGTGGCATGCATGGCTGGCACACAGTTCACAACACACACACACGAGTGTGCACACATGCATGCTGGCATATACATGTAGGCACAGGGACACAGATACACATGCCCATCCAAAAACATGCACGTATACACACATGCACACAGAGAGCCCTTACATGCTCACATGTACACAGACATGTACACATGCACACAGACACCTTACACGCACATTTCTTTTTTGAGTCAGGGTCTCGTTCTGTCACCCAGCCTGGAGTGCACTGGTAGGATGACAGCTCACTTCAGCCTTTAACTCCAGAGCTCAAGTGATCCTCCTGCCTCAGCCTCCCAAGTAGCTGGGATTACAGACATGCGCCACCGTGCCTGGCTAACTTTTGTATTTTTAGTAGAGACCAGATTTTGCCATGTTGGCCAGGCTGGTCTCAAACTCCTGACCTCAAGTGATCCACCTGCCTTGGCCTCCCAAAGTGTTGGGATTACAGGCGTGAGCCACTGCACCTGGCCATAGGCGACAACTTTCTATGTTTAAAAATTCCTCTGCGCCCCCTACATACCCCCTCTTCCCCTTGGGCTGGGGTAGTCGCCTGTCCCAGGCGGAGGCTTCTGGCATCCTTGAAAGTGTTCAGAGTCCTCGGCTCACCCCACAGCACCAGGACAGCACGACTGCTTAGGCGGCTTCCTGCTGGGTTACTGCGTCTCCCCGGCCCGGGCTGGGTGGCCCTCTCAGAGCCTCACTCATCCTCTCCAACCTCCGAAGGCCCCAGGAGTCAGTGCTTGGGGAGAAGTGGATCTCACAATCTCGGCTCACTGCAACCTCTGCCTTCTGGGTTCAAGCGGTTCTCGCGCCTCAGCGTTCCGCGTAGCTGGGACCACAGGCACACGCCACCATGCCTGGCCACTTTTTGTATTGTTTTTAGAGATGGGGGTCTTGTCATGCTGCCCAGGCTGGTCTCAAACTCCCGGGCTCAAGCAGCCTCCCATCTTGGCCTCCCAAAGTGCGGAATTACAAGTGTGAGCCACCGTGCTCCATCAGAAAAAGGTTTTTTCTAAACACCTAAACATGTTAAAGAGTATGAAGTTGAGTGTTTAGGTACTTGGTGATCCAGTATTCGGTTCTAGTAATATTTGAACATTTTGAAAATAAAAAGAGGCCAGGAACGGTGGCTCACGTCTGTAATCCCAGCACTTTGAGAGGCTGAGGCAGGCAGATCACGAGGTCAGGAGATGGAGACCATCCTGGTCAACATGGTGAAATCCCATCTCTACTAAAATACAAAATAATTAACTGGGTGTGGTGGCTCACACCTGTAGTCCCAGCTACTCGGGAGGATAAGGCAGGGGAATCACTTGAATCCGGGTGGTAGAGGTTGCAGTGAGCCGAAATCATGCCACTGCACTCCAGCTGGGCAACAGAGCAAGACTGTCTAAAAAAAAAGAGAGAAAGAAAGAACGAAAAAGAATATTTGGCCAGGCATGGTGGCTCAAACCTATAATCCCAGCACTTTGGGAGGCCAAGGTGGGTGGACCCCCTGCAGTCAGCCTGGGGGCTGATGTTGAGATCAGCCTGGCCAACATGGAGAAACCGTGTCTCTACTAAAAATACAAAAATTAGCTAGGTGTGGTGTCGGGCGCCTATAGTCCCAGTTACTTGGGAGGCTGAGGCAGGAGAATCGCTTGAACACAGGAGACAGGTTGCAGTGAGCCGAGATTGCACCACTGCACTCCAGCCTGGGTGACAGAGTAAGACTATCTCAAAAAAGAGAACATTTTAAATGATATGAAAAGTGCCACAGCAGCCCAGAGTCAGAAAATCTCGAGCCCATGAAACCTTCCTGCTGGGAGCTGTGCAGTGCTCACTGAGCCGCCTGCTTTGCCCAAGGAACTACCTGTTGCTGAGCTCACGTGTCCACATTCAGCTGCATTTTAGGGTCATGGGCATGGCCATCGATGTGCCAGTCTGGGTGCCAAGGCCCAGCGTGGACCTAAAGATCTGCATGTACGACCGGCTCTACCAGGACTCCGTGCTCGTGCACACGCGGTGAGCCCCTGCCCGCCCCTGCACACACGGTGAGCCCCTGCCCGCCCCTGCACACACGGTGAGCCCCTGCCCACCCCTGCACACACGGTGAGCCCCTGCCCGCCCCTGCACACGCGATGAGCCACTGCCCGCCTGTGCACAGAGGGTGAGCCCCCTACCCTACCCACTCGTGTATAAGCCGTGAGGCCCCCAGTGGCCAGCAGGGACACAGCGCCTGGGGTGGCCATGGCTGCTGCCCAGGCCCTGAACGTCATCCTCTGTAGCAAGGGGTGCTCAGCAGATGTGGTTGGGCAGAGTGACCTTGGTGGGGGTGATCCAGGATCACTGAGGAGGTGCCAGTGTCATTATGGGGGCCGTCACAGGGGGAGGCAGGAGGGTCAGAGTCCGGCTGATGTGGAGATACCGCACTGCTGGCTTCCAAGACAGAGAAAGGGCCCCAAGGCTGGGACATTGCAGCTTCTAGAGGCTGTGAAAGGAGAGAAGCAGCCTCTCCCCAGAGCCGCAGAAGGCACAGCACTGCCCACACCTGGGCCTTAGCTCCGTGGGCTCCATCATGGCCTCTGACCTCCAGGATGTGGAGAGAAGGCATGCGCCTCTTTGGTGTGGGGCCTTCCACTGGGGCAAGTCCTTTCAGCAGCCATGGGAAACGCACTGCCCGCCTGGGCCCAGCCAGTGTCCTCAGCCCCTCATGCACACAGGCAGGGTGAGCGGCCACAGGAGACCCAGAGCCCAGAGGAGGAAGCTTCCACGTGCAGAGTGTGGCAAGGGCTCCAGAGACCAGAGCAATCAGCCTGCCCTGAAGAGCCACACCGGGGCGAAAGGCAGACGGAGGCGAGGCTGGGCTTGTGGGGTCTCCAAGACGGAGCCCCAGTGCACTAGCACCAGGAGCAGGGCACGGATGCAGAGGCCCCTGGCCCCAGCCCCAGGCGCAGCCACTGCCAAGGGTGACCTGGGTAGGAACGGCTCCCGCAGAGCCTCCCTCCTGCTGTCTGACTCCTGTGGGCCCCCGCACAGGCCGGGAATGTGCAGCCTGAAGGTGGCCCAGGAGCCAGCGCAGGTGTCAGCGTCATGGCTGCTGTAAGGTCTGCTCACCTCTGGCATCTGTCCTGCCAGATGGAAATGTGACAGAAAGGGCCTTGGTGTATCTGTCGGGCACTGGGCACTGGGTGGGGCCCAGCTCTGTGGGTGGTCTGCGGCTGTGGCTGTGGCTCTGTGGGTGGTCTCCGGGGCTGTGGTTGTGGCTCTGTGGGTGGACTCCAGGGCTGTGGCTGCGGCTCTGTGGGTGGACTCCAGGGCTGTGGTTGCAACTGTGGGTGGCCTCCGGGGCTGTGGTTGTGGTCTGTAGGTGGCCTCTGGGGCTGGGGCTGGGGCTCTGTGGGTGTTCTCTGGGACTGTGCTTTCGGCTCTGTGAGTGGTCTCCGGCTGTGGTTTCATGACCTCAGCATAGCCGCGTGCTGGTTTGCACAGACTCTGGCCCTGCAAGGGAATTGGAAGGCAGAGCAGCATCTGCTGGACAGGGAGGGCAGGGTCTCTGAGCACCTGGGCGCCCGCCTCACATGGGACCCCAGCAGTAAGGGTACAGTGGTCGGTGTGCTGGGACGCACTGTGAGTGCCTCTGGATAGTGGTCCGAGGTCAGAGGCAGGTCTGAGGTGGATGGAAACAGGGCTACCGCTGCATGGGTGGCTGTCACGACGAAGCATAAGAGGGAGGAGAGATTTCCGCTGTCGCACCCTCCACATCCTCCCTCGTGGATTGCCTGGCTGTGGTGGGGTGGCCACACCACTGTGTCTAGCAGAGGCTCAAAGACAGGGAGGGGAGGGGGCCCTCACTGTGGGAACAGGGAGATCCAGGTGGTCCTGAGGAGGCTGTTGGCTTGAGAGATCCTGAGGTAGAGACCAGATGCAGGGCCTGCCAGTGACTGGTGGGCACCTCGGCTCTCTTGGGCTGGTCTTGAGTTGGAGGCTGCCGTCATCACTGAGGCCTGGGGCCGTCCCAGACCCCCAAGTGCCCCATGCTTGAGCTGCAGGCTGTGGGGACGCCCTGGGCAGGAGGCGGGCAGAGTCCTGAGGGAGGCAGTTGTACCCCTCATGTGCCCTCCAGGGCCCTGCCCCCAGGGGCTGCCTGGCAGGTGCCCTCCCCGGAAAGCACTCCAGTTCCTGAGAGCCGATTAGGGTCATGCTTCCATTTCGCTGTGGTTATTTTTAAGAATTCCTCATCAGATTTCATTTCAGAAAAAATAGCCCTTAAAAAGCAGGGCTTTGAAGACTGATTGTCGAGGAGCACGTGCGTGGCTTGTGGTGGGGCTCTGGGCACCTGTCAGGGGCTTGGGTATTAGGAATGTTTTCATAACTCCAAGCATTGAGCACGCACAATCACGGCTGTGGTGCCTGACCCAGTGCCCTGTGGCGGGTCCACAGATCGAAAGCTGCTCTGCGCCTGAGGTTCGAGGTGTGCAAGGAGCTGAGGGCCCACCTGGAGCTCCTCCCTGAGACGGGCTACATCCAGGCGCAGTCCTCCTACTCTGTGCAGCTCAAGTTCCTGCCCCGGTAGGTTCTGGGACCCTGGGGCCAGGGCAGAAGGGCGTGGGTGGGCGTGGGCGGGCGTGGGCTCCAGTGTCCCTCGCCAATGGCCACTCCATTCTTATTGCTGCCAGAGTCATCAGCCTCCAGGGATGTGTTCTGGGACAGAGGCCAAACACCAGGGCAGGGTGGGGGCAGTCACAGCTGGGTCTGTTGTCCATTTGGATGGCTTTTGTTTTGTGAGCCAAGTTGAAGTTCAGTTTTTTGTACAAAGGTTTCCAATTATTCCAGCATTGTTGTTGAAAAGATCGGGAGGCTGTGCGTCCCCCACGCATGGCCCGCGGCTCTCACCACGACTGAGGGTCTGCTACCTGCCGGGATAAGGTGACCCGGGATAAGGCTGTGGCTGACGGCGGGCACCCTGCCCTCCACACTGTCTTCATTCCTTTCCCCGTAACTCCTAGGGTTCTGTTTCAGGCCCGGTGCACACCAATGTTTTCCCCTTTACCTGCGTCTTGAGGGTGTCCCTGTCACCTGGCCGTCCCTTGCCCTCTCCAACCCAAGGCTCTTCCCAGGCCTCCTGGGTGTATCCCCTGGTCTCTGCTCTTGCCAGGCAGATTTTGGTTTCTGCACTTCAGCATTCATTGTGCTTTGGAGGCTGGACGTCCTGTGTCTGATCCTGGCTGCCAGAGCCGCCCTTGGCATCCAGGCTAGGACCTGGGTCCAAACAAAGGATGCTCTGTGGAGCTTGGCGGGGGAGGTAGACAAGGTGTGCGCAGCAGACACGGACCCTGGTGGGGCTGGGAGGGGAACAGGACGGAACTTCCTGGCCGGCCTCCCTCGTGGGGAGGCTAATTTTTTTCTTTCTTATTCGTCCTGTTCCTGATATTTCTGTAACAACATTAACTTCCTTCTGTAATCAGAGATCAAACTCTGATTAAAATGAGAATGAGTTTTTAAAGGGCTTTTTAGGATTCCTTTATGATACAAACTCCATATTAATTTGAAACATGACTATGGAATTTATTTCTGTTTATTTAAACACAGCTTTTGAGTCACAGGCACGAGTGGTGTTCCTGGGAGTGACCAGCTGCTCAGACTCAGACTCACCACAGACCCCCCAGGAGCCACCGGGCCATGCGCCTGCGGGCTCTGTGTGAGAGCAGGAGGGCGGTGCCATGTGTCTCAGTGCTCATGTTCAGAGATGTCGTGGCTCTCGCAGATCTAGAAGCACGACTGAGAGGGTCTTACTGTCATTTCACAAAATGGAAAGAGCCCTGTCCGCCTCTTTCAGACACTCCCTCCCAGAGGACGCCGGGAAGTATTTTGACAAGGAAACGCGAGTCCTGGAGGCCCCAATGACCATATGGGTGGCTGACCAGGTCTGTGTTGGGCGTCTCCCAGGGATGCCGGGAGCACCTGGGGAGCAGGGGCTTTCCTGGGAGGTAGGCTCGGCACCTGACCAAGGGCCCCAAAAGGCCAGGGCTCTGGTGTCAGAGCCCAGACTCACATGCTTTCCCATGGGTGTCTGGCAGCCAGAGGGGCAGGGCTTGCCTCCTAGTAGGGTGCTCGTGGGCCAGAGAGAGGCCTCCAAGGTCTGTCCCAGCCACCAGCACCCATGTGTGCACACGAGGTGGGCCCCATACACTCAGGTGCACACATCTACATGCCCAAGTGTGCCATACATGGAGACACACGCTCCCCACTGCCACACCCAGCTGGCCCTCAGCTGCCACGCACCCACAGCACCTCCCCGCCCACGTCAGGGAGCGGTCACAGGGAAGCGGGTTTTATCAAGAGGGCCTCGTCGTGTCTTGGAAACCGTGGCCTGTGACTACGAGCAGCAGTGGTCATGCCTCGGAGTTTGGGGAGCACCTGGGGAGTCTCCAAGCCTCTGTGAGGGCACCTGTGCCCTTTATGCCTCAGAACAAGCCAGTGGAGTTCACCGTGCACGCCATCGTCACCACCTCGGACCTGGAGCTCAACCCCGCGGAGGTGGATTTTGGCTACTGCACCATCTACGAGGCCATCAAGACGGAAATCCACCTCCACAACCACTCACTCCTGCCCCAGGAGTTCGGGTTCGTCAGGCTTCCCAAGGTACCTCCTGCAGCCAGGCCAGGGCCAGAGGGGCAAGGCTGGGAAGCCCTAGGGACAGGACACAACAGCCGCTGCTCCAAGGTCCCCATGCCCAGGCCACCCCACCCTCCACCCAGACCTGGGTGCCATGGCCCAACTTCCACCTGTCACCTGCACCCCCTGGGTCTCCCCACCCTGCACCCCAGCCCTGGGCACTTCGGCCCAACCTCAGCCTGTCACCTGCACCCCCACCCTCGGTCCCTTGCACCCGCTGTGCTCCAGATCCCTGCTCTTCCTTCCAGAAATTTCCCCTGTCACAGTAGGGCAGCCACACAAGGTAGCCAGGACGAGGCACAAGCCTGGGCAGCCCTCACCCTTCCCTGGGCCGCCCCACTGCTGACACCCCCAACACCATCATCCTCTCTCACTCCCTGTCTCATACACATGCACACATGCTCACACACATGCACACATTCACAACTGTTCACACACTCATACACAAGCACTCACATACACGTGCATGTGCTAACAGTTGCTCACACTCACATATGCGTTCATTCACACTAATGCTCACACACACATGCTCACAATCATGCACTCAAACACAAGCGCTCACACATTCACACACGCTCACATGTGCAATGCTCACAATCACACACTAATACACATGCGCTCACACATTCACACACGTGAACATGCTCACAATGGCTCACGCACTCACATGCATTCATTCTCACACACACGTGAATGTGCTCACAATCGTTCATGCACTCACATGTGCTCACACATTCACACACACACATGCACACACTAAATTGCTCATGCACTCGTGCTCACACAAACACGTGAACATGCTCACAATCACACATGTGCTCACACATTCACACACACGTGCACATGCTCACATTCACAATTGCTCACACATGCTCACACATACAAGTGCACATGCTGACAATCACGCACTCATGCCCTCACATTCACACGCTCACACACGTGCACGTGCTCACAATCACTCATACACATACATTCACACGAACACGTGCACATGCTTACATTCACACACTGATACACATGCACTCACACATTCACACACGTGCACATGCTCACAATTCCTCATGCATTCACATGCTCACATGTGCACATGCTCACAATCGCATGCACCCATATTCACACACACATGTGCACATGCTCACAACTGCTCATGCACTCACGTGTGTGCACACATTCACTCATTCTCACACACATGCACATGCTCACAACTGCTCACACATTCACATTCATACCCACATGCAATCACACACACTCACATTCACACACACGTGCACGTGCTCACAATCATGCATTCATGCACATGCACTCACATATTCATACACACATTTGCACGCCCCTCACACACTCCTCACCCACACATGATCACACTAGTCTCACAGCCCTGCCGCACGTGTGTCCATGCGATCTCCCCATGACACTCCCCTCAGACCACTCTTCCCTTTCCAGTTTGTGGACATCCAGCCCAATGATGGGTTTGGGGCAATCCTGCCCCTGGAAACGCTGCAGTTCGATGTGATCTTCCAGCCCACCAAGGCCAAGGAATACAGCTTCGAGCTCATCTGCAAGTCTGAGATCAACCGGTGAGCCTGCCAGGGAGCAGGGTGCAGTGGGCCCAGAGTGCCCGCTCAGGAGGGACCACGTTTCCCAGCACCACCGCATCCCGCTCTAGACCCCACCTGTCTGGCTGACCACAGGGCTGGGCTGGGCAGCAGGAAGCTCAAACCCGGATGCAGACAGGTAGCTTGCATTCTGGGCCAGCTCAGCCTTGTGTGTGTGTTTATATGAGTGTGATAGCATGCATGTATGTGTCATCAGTATGCATCTATATGAGCATGTATGTGAGAACAGGTGAGTGTGCCTGTGTGAGCGTATGAACATGTGTGTGCATTAGGTGTATCACTATGAGTAGGTGTGAGTGGGTCAGTGTGAGTGCATGTGTGCATGAGCCCGTGGGAGTGTGAAGGTGTGTGGGCATATGTGATTGTGTGAATGTGTGAGTGCATGTATGTGAGTGTGGGTGTGCATGTGAGCTCACACTCATTCACACACAGGCATGTGAGTGTATGGGGGGGTGAGTGCCTGTGTGAGCATGAGTGCATGTGAGCATGCACGTGTGAGTGCTTTCACGTGAGACTCTGTGAGTGCCTGTGTGTGAGCACGTGTAAGTGTATATGAATGTGAATGAGTGCTTTTACATGAGACTGTGTGAGTGCCTGTGTGTGAGCATGTTAGTGTGCGTGCATGAGTGCTTTTACAAGACTGAGTGCCCATGTGTGAGCGTGAGTGCATGTGAGCATGCATGTGTGTGTGCTTTTACGTGAGACTGTGAGTGCCCGTGTGAGTGCATGTGAGCGTGCATGTGTGAGTGCTTTCACATGAAATTGTGTCTGTGTGTGAGCATGCGAGTGCATGTGTGCTTTTATGTGAGACTGAGTGCCTGTGTGTGAGCATGTGAGTGCATGTGAGTGTGCATATGTGCTTTCACATGAGACTGTATGAGTGCCTGTGTGAGAATGCACAAGTGCATGAGTGTGCATGCGCGCTTTTATGTAAGACTGAATACCTTGTGTGAGTGTCAGTGCACGTGAGCATGCATTGTGAGTGCTCTTACGTAAGACTGTGTGACTGTGAGCATGTGTGAGTGTATATGAATGTGCATGAGTTCTCTTACGTGAGACTGAGTGACCGTGTGTGAGTGCATGTGAGTGTGCATGTGTGTGCTTTTATGTGACTGTGCCCGTGTGTGAGCATGTGAGTGCATTTGAGTGTGTGTGCATGCGTGAGTGCTTTTATATGAGACTGAGTGCCCGTGTGTGAGCATGTGAGTGCACGTGAGCACGAGCACTTTTACGAGACTGAGTGTCCGTGGGTGAGCGTGTGTGAGTTCATGTGAGCGTGCATGCCTGCTTTTACGTGAGACTGCCTGTGTGTGAGCATGTGTGAGTACATGTGAGCATACGTGCATACTTTTACATGTGACTGTGTGAGTGCCTGTGTGAGCATGTGAGTACATGTGAGCATGTGTGCGTGCTTTTATGTGACTGTGAGTGCTCGTGTGTGTGAGTGCATGTGAGCGTGCATGCGTGAGTCCTTTTACATGAGACTCTGTGTGCCTGTGCATGAGTGCATGTGAGCATGCATGCGTGAGTGCTTTTACGTGAGTGTATGTGTGTACATGCGTGCTATGCAGGGCACCCGTCTGGACACAGGTGGGCCTGGTGTGAGCCCTGCATGCTCTGAGGTGCTGTGTGACCAGCCAGTCTCTGCACCTCCCTGAGCCTGCGAGTGGGATAAGGAGGAGCTGGAGAGGAAGAGGTGAAGCTGGACCTGAAGTGGTGGCCGGCAGCTGGTGGTCCTGGGTGGGTGTTTGCTGCTTGGACCATTGGCCTCCAGGGATGTGTTCTGGGGCCAAGACCAAGACACCTGGGGGCAGTCACAGCTGGGTCTGCGGTCCGTTTGGATTGCTTTTGTCTAAGATGTGAGCCGAGCTGAAGTTCGTTTCTTTGCACAGAGGTTTCCAATCACTCCAGCCTCGTTGTTGGGAAGATTCCATTCTCCCCTGAATTCCTTTGTGCCTTTGTCAAACAATCTTCCACCTTTGGGTCCTCCTGGCATGGGCCATTTGGGCCTCCCTCCATCTCTATGGATCCTGGAAATGTATTTATTGCAGAAACCAGGTGAATTTGCTCTGTGGAGTTAGCCACAGGCTGGATCTTGCCCCGTGGCATCAGTTAACATGTTCCTCTGTTCCATGCCATGCATCCATTGGCAGTGAGACGACTTCAAAAGCCACGTTGGCTCCTTCCCGGGCGCTTTCACGCCCAGCGTCTCTCCCTCGGCCTCCTTCGGCGCTCAGTGATCTATACCTTCCATCTGCTATCACATCCCTGTGACTCCGCCCACCTCTGTTGCAGATTCCAGGCCTGTGCCACCCTCTGAACTCTGTGTAGCACGTGCTGCGTCATTACGCTCTGGCGTTTCATTCCCTCGCGGCACGGCTTCCAGTTTGCTTCACTGTTTGCACAAATTCCTTGTTCTCTCTCTTCCCACAACAGTCTCACCTGTGATTTGACCTTTTACTACTGCTTATTTTCACATGCAATTACTTTTTCTGAACTTTTACAATTTAATGTAATTTTTTTGAGGCAGGGTCTTGCTCTGTCACCAGGCTGGAGTGCAGTGGTGCACTCGTGGCTCACTGCAACCTCAGTCTCCTGGGTCCAAGCGGTCCTCCCACTGCAGCCTCGAGTATTGCTAGGGCTACAGGAACACGCGTCCCTGCCTGACTAATTCTTTTATTGTTGATAGAGACAGGGGGTTCTCACTATGTTGCCCAAGCTGGTCTTGAACTCACAGCCTCAAGCAACCCTCCCGCTTCAGCCTCCCATCATGCTGGGATGACAGGCGTGAACCACAGCACTCAGCTCTCCTCTGCACACTCAGAAAGGAGCCCCGTTTGGAGAGTTTTTGTAGCTCATCGGCTCCAGAGCACCCTCTGCAGTTCCTGTGTGTGTGTGAAGTGCCAATCAAAAAAATCAGGTCCCAACTTTCTAAGCAGCATGTCCTCTGCTCTCTTCCTCCCTCCATTTTCAGGTGATCCACAAACTCAGAAAGCCAACATCATGTGCCCTCCACCCAAAAACCGGACCTTAGACTTGTCCCCTACTTGCCTGCCATGTCGTTGTTACAGAACGTTCTCCCTCAGGCCGGAGCTGGGTTTCTTCTCCCTCCCTCCACAGAGTCCATCACTGTCAGGAATGCCAGGGGTGGCACTACGTGTCTGTGTACCTGTAACCTAGCACACACGTGTGCACGTGTACACGTTTCTGCACTTGCATAGACATAGGGTGACCGCCATGCAGTGTGCCTAGCACCGAGGGGTTTCCTAGGCCAGAGGACTTTGAGTGCCGAGACCAGGAGAGCCCCGCGCAGACGGGGACCCCACGTCAGTGGCATCAGACCCACGTAGGTGGCATCAGACCCCAGCTGCTGGTCTGGATTTTGCTTGTTTCCCCTCAGCCTGGGTGCTTCTGTGACTGACCATTGTGGCCACCACCGTGGGTTCCATGTAGGACCCATTAGGTTTGAGGCCTGTGGCCATCAGAGCAGCACCTCGTTCTAGCTCTAAATGCAGATATTACAAAAGAGGGTTGGAAAATCAACCAGCTGAACCTCCTTTTCAAGAATTAGGAAAGAACACAGGAAATTAAACCCAAAGAAAGTAGAAGGGAAGACATAATAAGGTACAAAGTCGCCGGGCGTGGTGGCACACACCTGTAATCCCAGCACTTTGGGAGGCCGAGGCGGGTGGATCACGAGGTCAAGAGATCGAGACCATCCTGGTCAACATGGTGAAACCCCGTCTCTACTAAAAATACAAAAAATTAGCTGGGCATGGTGGCGCGTGCCTGTAATCCCAGCTACTCAGGAGGCTGAGGCAGGAGAATTGCTTGAACCTGGAGACAGAGGTTGCAGTGAGCTCAGATCGAGCCACTGCACTCCAAGCTGGCAACAGAGCGAGATTCTGTCTCCAAAAAAAAATTGAGTACTAATAATAACCAACAGTATCGCCACTCAAAAATAATTTTAGTGAGTAGTGGGCGTCATAGCTCACACCCGTAATCCCAGCACTTTGAGAGGCTGAAGCAGGAGGATCACTTGAATCCAGGAATTTGAGACCCAACTGGGCAACACCCCACCAACTACATTTTTCTTAAATTTTTTTTTTTAGCCGGCAGGGTGGCTCACACCTGTAATCCCAGCACTTTGGGATTTAAATTAAAAAAAAATATTTTTTTAAATAAAGATGGGGTTTCACCATCTTGGCCAGGCTGGTCTTGAACTCCCGACCTCAGGTGATCCGCCCGCCTTGGCCTCCAAAGTGCTGGGACTACAGGCGTGAGCCACCCCGCCCGGCCAGAAATTATGATAATTCCCTATTTGGGGGTTTATCTTCCCTTGGTCTTCTCTTTTAAAAATATATATTTATTTATTTATTTTTATTTTTATTTTTTTGAGACGGAGTTTCGCTCTTGTTACCTAGGCTGGAGTGCAATGGCGCAATCTCGGCTCACGGCAACCTCTGCCTCCTGGGTTCAGGCAATTCTCCTGCCTCAGCCTCCCGAGTAGCTGGGACTACAGGCACGCGCCACCATGCCCAGCTAATTTTTTGTATTTTTAGTAGAGACGGGGTTTCACCGTGTTGACCAGGATGGTCTCAATCTCTTGACCTCGTGATCCACCCGCCTCGGCCTCCCAAAGTGCTGGGATTACAGGCTTGAGCCACCGCGCCCGGCCCTATTTATTTATTTTTAAGATGGGGTTTCACCATGTTGGTCAGGCTGGCCTTGAACTCTCGACCTCAGGTGATCCGTCTGCCTTGGCCTCCAAAGTGCTTGGATTACAGGTGTGAGCCACCACACCTGGCCTATTTTTCTTAAAATTTTTAAGAATTTTTTTAAGCATTTAGAGCCTGTGGTCACAAGACATAAAAATATGCATTTGAATATTACAACAAATGAATGTTACAGACAAATGTGATAATATTATCCTTTTCAGCATAAAATATAAAATAGGCATTGAAGGAAAATGTGAAATTTCCAGTGGTTAAAATACCCAGGTACCTTGTCTTTTTTTTTTTTTTTTGAGACAGAGTTTCGCTCTTGTTGCCCAGGCTGGAGTGCAATGGCGCAATCTCGGCTCACCGCAGCCTCCGCCTCCTGGGTTCAGGCAATTCTCCTGCCTCAGCCTCCTGAGTAGCTGGGATTACAGACACGCGCCACCATGCTTAGCTAATTTTTTGTATTTTTTGTAGAGACGGGGTTTCACCATGTTGACCAGGATGGTCTCGATCTCTTGATCACGCCCGGCCCCTGGTCTTTTTTTAATGGATAGTGGCAGGGATCAACTTGCTCGTAAGAGGCATCAGAGACACCTGTGCTCACAGTTAGAGATATCTGTTTTTAAAATGTCAATAAATATTTAACAAAATAAACTGAAGGCCAGGCACGGTGGCTCACGCCTATAATCCCAGCACTTTGGGAGGTCAAGGTGGATGGACCACAAGGTCAGGAGTTTGAGACCAGCCTAACCAACATGGTAAAACCTCATCTTCACTAAAAATACAAAAATTAGCTGGACGTGGTGGCACACGCCTGTGATCCCAGCTACTCAGGAGGCTGAGGCAGGAGAATTGCCTGAACCTGGGAGGCAGAGGTTGCGGTGAGCCAATATCGTGCCACTGCACTCCAGCCTAGGCAGCAGAGTAAGACTCCATCTAAAAAAAAAAAAAAGCTAGAAATTTCTTTTTCAACTTCCTTTGCAACTATCTAAACTTGTGATTAAATTTTTAGCTACCCAGGACACAGTGGCACGCATCTGTAGTACCAGCTACTCAGGAGGCTGAGGCAGGAGGACCCCTTAAGCCCAGGAGTTGCAGGCTGCAGTGAACTGTGATGGCGCCACTGCACTCCAGCCTGGGCAACAAATCAATAAATACATTTAAAAATTTTTAGCTACCCACCTAAAATGTGCACAAGGACGTGCTATATTTTCAAAATGTGTTAACGGGGCAGTGACCCCACGGGCAGTGGGAACGTGCCTGTCCCTGTGAGCCTCACTCAGGGCCTGTCCTCCACCCAGCAGCCCCTGCTCCTGCTGCAGAGGGACCCGCCCCTCCCCCCACTCCACAAGGCTGAGGGCCTCCGTCGCTGGTGTTTGCAGGTGCTTTATGCTGTCTTGCCGGGCTGTTGGCGTCCACCCGCCCCTGGAACTGTCCCACTACCAGATCAAGTTTGCGGCCACGGCCCTGTATGACACCTCAGTGGCCAAGCTGTACGTCATCAACTCCCACCTGAGCATGAGCTCACTGACCCACTCCAAGCCCCGCATTGGCTCAGAGGACGCCTCTCCCGTGGGGCCCACGTCTTTCGAGTTCCTGCTGCCCCCAGACTCGCCTATCACCATCTCACCCTCGGTGGGGACCGTGTGGCCAGGAAAGGTAGGTGTGGGCCCCACACGCAGGCTGGGAGCCAGGGGCTCCACAACACCCATGTTTGCCCCCAGGGTGTCTGGCTCTGCACACCCTTAACCACAGGGTTTCAACCCGGCGAGCAGGGGTGGGAGTTCCGACCCTCATCAGACCCGAGCAGGGTGCAGGGAGCCTCCATGGCCTCCGTAGATGGGGTCCAGCCCGCCCACGTGGGAGGAGGCCACAGTGCCCTTGGCCAGCCTGACCCTAAGAGGCAGGAGCTCCCCAGGCTGCTGGCCTGGCGGGCACCCATCCTGGCCTCCCAGGTTGAGACTAGGGAAGGCTGTGTAGCCCCTTGGACCAGGGGACCTCACAGACAGACGAGGAGCAGAGGGGTCAGCCACTCGCAGCCAGCACTCCACCTTCCTGCAGAGCACAAAGCCCTGAGCCTGGCAGGGCCTGGGTGACCCTGAGGGCTGCCAGAGGCCTTAGTGAGGAAGGGCACGTGGCTGTCACCCCCACATGCAGCTCTCCCGTCCCCCTAACCCCTTCTCCTCCCCGCTGTTCTCCCCCCTCTCTCCCCCTCCCCCATCCTCTTCCTTCCCTTGCTTCCTCTCCCCCCCCACATCATGTCACCCCGCACCCCCACTGTACACCGTCTGTGGGCTCTTTCATGGTGGGACCCTTCCGTGGGGAGCCATTTCCAAAACGGAGGCGCGCTAGAAAGGCTGGTGTGTGCAGGGGCCAAGTTAGGGTGCGGGAATTGCCCCTGAAACTCAGTGAAGAAAAGGCAGGCTCAGCTGTCACTGCCACCCCGTGGGATCCCCACCCTGCAAGGCCAGAGGGCTTGGCGCTCAGGCCTGCAGCCTGTCCACCTTCCTGGGGGACAGAGGTCAGGGAAGGCCTTACCAAAGGCATGCAGCCTGAAATCTCAAGGAAGCGGTGACCTCATGGGGATGCCCGGGGCTGAGGAAGGCAGAGTGCTAGCAGGGGCTCCCCGGGTCAGAGGGAGGTGGCAGCCTTATGCCCATGCTCGTCTCTCCCCAGAGGTGCCTGGTCCAGGTGGCCTTCCGGCCCGTGCTGCCCGAGAAGCTGATCCGCCAGGAAGCTCTCCCTCTCCTAAACAAAGAAATGGAGCCCAAATTTGTGCGTGGGGCCTGGGAGAGGAGGGGTGTGGGTTGGGGAAGGGAAGGCCTTGTGGGCAGCATCGCGGTGGGGGGGACTTTGCCACCTATTGCAGGAGTGAACGCCACCGTCCCCGAGTCCCTGGGGGCCCAGGCTTCGTGCCAGGCACCCAAGGGAGACTTTTTCCGAGCACTGCGTTAAAAAGCTTGTTCACCAAGACCTTTTCTCGTCTCTGGAAGTCACCGCCAGGCCGGAGCAGGAAAGAGTGGGCTCAGGAGGTGGGGTCAGCAGGGGCTTCAACCCAGGGCTGCGGCAGATGCAATGCAGGCCCCTCCCACCACTTGGAGCCCGGGGAGGTGCACCCACACCCGAAATGCCACTGCAGTGGAGTGTTCTGCAGGGTCCGCCCCACAGCGCCGCCAGCCCCAGCCCCAGAGGTGGCCTCCCGTCCCGGGTTCCTCCCAGCGTGCACGTGAGGGGCGGCGCTCCCTTTGGCCTTCTGCGGTGAAGATGAGGGAAGGCACCAGGGTAGGGACCCTGGTTCTGGCCACCTCTTCACTCCTTTGTGCCTCAGTTTATCCTCTGGCGAAGGCAGGCGCTGCAGTCTGTGAGCCCCTCTGTGGAGGTCTGTGTGCTGCTCCCCATGCGCCCTTCCACACTGGCTACTGTCTTCCTGGGCACCCAGTTGGTTTTTGGGTCCCCGTTCAATCCAAACTGGGGCTCCCACGGTTCCTGCACAGGCTGTGGAGGAGCCACAGGGCACAGCTGGGGTGCCTTCGGGGCCCTGCACAGCCCCACAGCCAGCTGCTCCCCAACAGTTCCGAAAGGACCTGGCTGCCCAGAGGAAGGGCCTGCAGAGACTGTCATTCTCCCTTCTGCGAGTACAGAATCCAGACAAGCTGTTCAGAGTCTGTGTCCCCCATGTCCTGGAGCTGCAGAAGCGGGAGCTAAAGCCCAGGTGTGTCCAGGAGGGGCTGCCCATCTCCTTCCCTCCAGGCCTCTCTGGTGGGACCCACTGCGGCCCCTGTGGACAGTTCCCCCCCAGACTGCCCGGAATGACCCATGTGTCTAGAAGGACTGATGACTTCAGACATAGCTGGATCCAGGCGCTGCCCTCTTGGGATCTGCCCACCCCATTCCCCCAGGCCTGGCACCCATGCACACTGCCTCACTCCACGGGTGGGGAGCAAAGCCAGCGCCCCCCACTCAGCCTCCCTGGGTGCAGAATGAGCCCTGGGAAAGCTCTGATGGGTGCCTATGGCACCAGGAGGGCTCTCTAGCCACGGGCCAAAGGACCTGCCCCAAACCCCAGTCCCCAGGCACCCAGCTGACAAGGACCTGGAGTGGGTGACAAGTCCCCCACAGGAGCCAGAGGGTGGAAAAGCCAGCTTGTCAGACACAACTGGGACAGCCACAGCCTGGGAGGCCAAGGCAGAGCCTCGGATTGGGCCGAGGCCCCTTGGGGGCGGGGTGGGGGCAGGGCGGGAGTGCACACCACTGGCTTCCTTCCAGTTCCGACGAGTACCAGGCCGCCCAAGCCACCCTGGCCAGATCGTTCCAGGCGAAGTTTGACACATTTGTGGTTCCCTGCGTTGTTGCCAGTGGCTACATCAACAACAGGAAGGGGTCGGAGCCCCTGAGCTTCAGGTGCAGGGTGCTCTGCCCGGAGTGGGGTGCGGTTGGCCACAAACGCACTACTGCAGCCGCTCTCTGCTACTGACCGACTCTGGGGCCCGGGCAGGCAGGGGGCTGGCCACCCTGCCCTCAGCATGCCCTTCCCTCCCGCAGCCCCCACAACACCCTCTACCTGGAGCTGTGGTGCCCAAGCGTGGCGCCATCTGTCGTGGTGACATCCCATAAAGGCAAAACCATCTTTAACTTTGGCGACGTCGCCGTGGGTGAGATGCTCGGCCCCACGCACACCTCCACCGCAGGGCCAGACACGCCCACGCCTTCCCGGCCCCACGCCCTGCCCCTGGACGGGGGTGCTACTGGGGGCCTGGGGCTGCAGTGTGATGCTCCCTGCCCCGTTTCAGGGCACCGCAGCGTCCAGAAGGTCTCCATCCAGAACGTCTCTCCTGAGGATCTGGCTGTGTCCTTGTCCACCTGGCCCAGGCGGCCTGCAGGGTGGGAGTGGGGCTGGGGAGGGCGTGGTGGAGCCCACAGACACCCGTGTCCCTCCCCAGTCGGCCTGCGGGATGGGAGTGGAGCTGGGGAGGGCATGGTGGAGCCCGCAGACACCCGTGTCCCTTCCCAGGCGGCCTGCGGGGTGGGAGTGGGGGCTGGGGAGGGCATGGTGGAGCTGCAGACACCCGTGTCCCTTCCTTGACGCGGACCCTCAGCTGGACTTCTCACTGCTGAACCCCAACGGCCCCTTTGTCCTGCTGAACCCCTCCGGCCGGCTGCGTGCAGGCGAGACCCAGGTCCTGGTGCTGTCCTTCTCTCCCCATGAGAGCATCCTGGTGAGTCCCAGGCCCACCCCAGCCACACTGCGGCCCATGGCTCCCCACGTTGCAGGACAAAGGCACTGGCCGGGGCAGGCACTGCCTGTGCTCAGGCCTGGGTCTGTGAGCAGCCTGGCCCCCAGGCCCCGTCAAGAGCCAGCAAGTGAGCGGAGCTAATGGAGCCACCCTCTCCGCCCCACGCTCTCAGCCCTAGCACCGAGAACCCACTGCCCTGAGGCAGAGCCCCCCTCATGCCTCCAGCAGACGTCTGCTCCTGGCTGAGGGAGGTGGTCTCTTTAGGCTCAAGAAACGCTGGACATCATCACCAAGAGAGGCACGCTCACCCTCACCCTCCTGGGCACTGGGGTGGCATCCATGGTCACGTGCTCCATCGAAGGCGACGTCCTCAACATGGGCTACGTGATTGCCAGAGAGTCTGTGTCCTCCAGCTTCAAGGTGAGGCACTCGAGGGCCCTGGTGCTGCCTCCAGCCTCCCAGGACTCAGGCCACCTGTCAGAGTAACCAGTGAGTCGAGTAGCCCATAGGGACACCGGTTGACCCCTTTGCCCCCCAACACAGCTGCCGCCTCTGCCGCCCTCTCATGCAGGGAACACGGGCCTGTTTCTGGGAAGGCTGCAGAAACAGCCCACCTCCCTGTCCTCCTTGGTGCTCCTTGTCCCTCCTCCTCGGCCCCTGCACAGAGCCTCCCTGCCCTGCTGCTTGAACTCTCACTCCTTTGGAGATCAACTCGGCCACCCAGGGGTGAGGGTTTGCCGACCTCTGCAGCAAGCCACACTGCCCCGTGGGCTCTCATGCCTTCATCCCATCCAAGGGACGCCTGCTTCTCTGCCTGGCTCAGGGAGAATCCTGGAGGCACAGCCCGACACGGGGGTTGCATGGAGGAAGGGTGCTCTCAGGAGAGGGGGTGAGGGCAGGGAGGACAGTGGCGGGGACTCGGGTTCAATTGAGCCAGAATCTCACCGAATCAAGATTTGGGTGTACTGGAGGACAAGAGGCACCACAGAGCCGCCCATGTGCCCCGGGCACCGCAGAGCCCCCCATGCACCCCGGGCAGGAAAGCTGAGTCCTGGCCTGGTGAAGGCTGATAAGAGGCTGGATGACTGGCCATTGGCACACAGCTCAGTAACTGCCATGTGTGCTGGCATCGTCGGCCGCCTGGGTCCCCACGTGGGTGGGTAGCAGCCAAGTCCTGGGCACTGACCACAGGAAGGGGAGCGGCCCTGCTGCTGGGCCAGACTGGCGGGCGGTGACCATGGCCTGCTCTCTGCAGCTACAGAACAACTCCGTGCTCCCCATCACCTTCTCCATGCACCTGGACAGCCTCTCCAGGACCTGGGCCGAGGACCAGCAGCAGCTGCCGCAGTTCCTCAGCTCTTCCTCCCAGAGGATGGAGGTGGTCGGTGAGCTGGGGGGTGGGGAGGGGAGATTGGATCTATGGCAGGAGGAGAGGGTGCAGGGCTGTTGGGGGCACTGGGCAGGCTGGGGCACTGCGGGGGACGGTATGGGTGCAGAGCTCTGTGGAGCAGGGCTTGGGGACAGACAGCGACTGCAGGTGGGAAAGGCCGAACTGCACCCCCCACCCACAGGGACGCAGAACCTCAGTGGCCAGAGCGTGTTCAGTGTGGCCCCAGTCAAGGGCGTCATGGACCCCGGGAAGACGCAGGACTTCACTGTCACCTTCAGCCCGGACCATGAGAGCCTCTACTTCTCTGACCGGCTCCAGGTGGTGCTCTTTGAAAAGGTGCGGCTCTGGCTGCTAGCCCAGCCCCTGCCCCACCCAGGGCCTGACCTTTCCCTGCACTGCCCACTGTGGAGGCCCGAGGGCACCATGCCTGGGGGACCCAGCACCACGTTGAAGGTCGTCGGTGGAGACACCAGAGTCCAGGGGCCCACGGGGTCCCCAGCCCATCCCTGCCTCCTTCCCCTGAGCCAGCCCAGCTCTTACCAGCAGGGCCCCTGCCTCGGACCTTCAGGGACAAGGCCACCGCACTTCTTGTCCCCAGAAAATCTCCCACCAGATCCTGCTGAAGGGTGCTGCCCGTGAGCACATGATGTTTGTGGAGGGCGGAGACCCCCTGGACGTGCCTGTGGAGTCTCTGACGGCGATCCCTGTATTTCACCCCAAGCACAGAGAGGGTAAATGCCTCCCCAGGGAGGGAACAGACAGAGGGCCTCCCAGGGTCCCTCACCTGTAGATGGGGGAGCAGCGCAGGGATTCCAGCCTTCTAGCCCAGAGCCAGGCAGGACAGCCCCTGCTAACCAGAGTTCAGGAGTCCAGTTGCAGCCTCCCCCAGGCCTCAGCCTGACCCTGAAGCGCTCCCCTGGCCACACCCCTCTAGCCAGCTCCCAGCCAGGCCCTTCCTCTCCAGAAGCCGAGGAGCTGAGGCCCATCCTGGTGACTCTGGACTACATGCAGTTTGACACGGACACGCAGGCCCCCCCCGCCACCCGAGAGCTGCAGGTGGGCTGTATCCGGACCAGCCAGCTGTCTCCGAAGAAGGTAACCACAGCATTGCCCCTGGGGATACCAGGCGGCCTCCTCAGCCTCCCCTGCCCTGGGCAGCCCTGACGCTCCTGGCCCTGCCACAGGAAGGGGGCACTGACCACAGAAAGCTGACAAGCTCACGGGGCTTGTCCCCACAGCTGGCTTGTCTGGGGCTTCCTGTGGCAGCTGTGGGGTGGGCAGCCTGCTGCTGGAAGCTGGGAGGGGGCATGGAGCTGGGCACCCTCGCTGCTCCTCCCACTGCTGCTGGCAGCCTACAGGAGCCCATGCCCCACAGACTGTGGAGTTCAGCCTGGACAGCACCGCATCCCTGCAGCACAAGGGCTTCTCCATTGAGCCTTCCAGGGGCTCCGTGGAGCGTGGCCAGACCAAGACCATCAGCATCTCCTGGGTGCCGCCTGCAGACTTTGACGTAGGTGCCTTCAGGCTGCAGGCCAGGGAGCACTGGGAACACCAGAGGCTGGGTGGGCTGACTCCCTCCCAGGGGAAGAGGTGGCCATGGAGGGCCGGGGGAGTGAGGTGGGCCAGGGGAAGGGGTGGCCATGGAGGCCCGGGGGGAGTGAGGTGGGCCAGGCAGCTGGAAGACAGATCTCCCCGGGGTGCCCATGGCTGAGGCCCCTTCTCCCCGCCCCTCCTGTTCCAGGCCGACCACCCACTCATGGTGTCAGCCCTGCTGCAGCTAAGGGGGGATGTGAAGGAGACCTACAAGGTCATCTTTGTAGCCCAGGTGGTGACCTAAGCCTCTGCACGGAGCACTGTCGGGCCCCCCACCCACCCTCAAAGCCCTCCCCAGGCTGAGGGCCAGGCCATACTACCCTGGATCCTGGACCTGAACATCCCCTGCCAGGCACATTCCCATGGGCTGCCCTCCACCTGGCGCCGCCATGGCCTCTTCCTGCTGCCCTGGACCCAGCAAGCCCAGGGACATCCAAGAGCACCCCCTCCTGAGACCCCCCACTCAGAACCAGCGATAAGGCCAGGCCAGCCCACAGCCATTCTAGCCAGAGCCCCTCAGAGCCCCCTGCCCCCAAGGAGAGCCCCCCCACAGCCTGTCAATAAACTTTCTGTACTCAGACGTGCAGCCTTCGGTGTGGGTGACGGTGGGTTATTCCCTGGGGTGAGTGCAGAATGGGAGGTGGGGACAGAGCCCTGGGGAAGCAGCCCCTCCCCTCACAGCCATGCAACCCGCTCTGCCTGGCTAGGGCCTCCTGGAGTAGGGCTATCCTGCGGGACACCTGTGGGGAGGCCACCCTGGCCCAAATTCAAGGACAACCCCCAAGCCTGACACCCTGAGCAGCAGCAGGCAGCCCAGAGGACCAGGGTGCAGCTGGAGCTGAGACTGACCCAGAGCCAAGAGGCCCTGGGTGGTAGGGAGGGCAGGCCCGGGAATCTCCAGACTCCTCCCAAGTTCCAGGACCCTGGATGATGACCCAAGCAAGGATGAGCAGACAGCAGAGACCCAGCCCAGCCATGCCCTGCCCGAAGTCCAGGTCCTGCCTTTACGTTCCCACTTGTCTTAAGTCTGGACTCAGCTTTCTGGGCTCTGACCCACCCTTCAACAGAGAAGACCCCTCCCAGCCCGGGAGATGCTCCTGCAGCTCAGAGTGGCACCTGCACCCCAACCCTGCCTCTGAAGCATGGCTTGTTGGATACCGACCTAGAGAGCCCACCCAGCCTGGTCCTCCTGTCACAGTGCAGCACACACACCTTGCCAGCCAACTGGCAGCCACCAGGAGAGCATACGAAGCCTTCCCTGGACTGGCAGGGGAGAGCAGGTGGTGCTTCTAGGAGCTTTACTGGGCACAGTCCTCGGGGACACCAGTCTCTAGCTGCCTGCCCTCACCCCAGCCCCCCAGGGCCCATGGTGCCTAGGAACCTACCACTGCCCCAAACTTCAAACCAGTGACATTGACCCTGCAGTGGCTTTTGCAGGATTTCTGTCCAATGGGTCCCTTGCTGCCCTTCCTGGGTCTGACCCACCATGGCTCAAGCTTGCGCCACACCAGATGGGAGGGGAAGGCAGGCTCCGCCAGGTCCAGGCCAGGCCCAGGCCTCAGGAGGAAGTGCTCCCTGGGGGGTACTGTTTCCTGGGCAGGCCCCTCTCTTCTAAACCCTGACCCGACTCTCCTGCTGCCAGGCCCCTGATACTGAGTGACGAGGTCCTGCATGGGGGTCCTTCGTGGGAGCCAAGTATTCACCTTCCAGAATTCCGGGTTGTGGCCTCAGGCTGCGCTTGTGCACATGCTGTCCCCCGGCCCCTCCCGTGCTGGGCCTCCACAACCAGCAGGAAGAATGGCCAGGGGCCGCACTCAGCCAGGCTCAAGGGAGCTAGGTTCTAGGGTTGATGGCCCACAGGGTCGTGGGGTGTGCCTGATGCTGGGCTGAGGTGCAGGATCCAAGAAATGAAGAGACAGGACACAGAAGTACAAGGAAAATGCAGCTGGGCTCAGGGGACCACGCCACCTATGAGCGGAGTCAGGGGAGGCCCCGAACGTTCAGAAGCCTGAGTATTTATTGTGCATAGGTTAGAGGGCAGGGCAGGGAGTGAAATCATCTTTAAGGACAGTGATAGGGTTGTGAGCAATAAAACATGGGGTCCACCCCCATTAGGTCACCTAGGCCAGGAGGTGGACAGTGCACAGCAAGGGGTCCATTGCCATGAAGGTAAGGGCCATGTGCAGTAAGGGGTTCACCCCCATTAGGTCACCGAGGCTTGAAGGTGGGCCGTGCGCAGTGAAGAGGGTGCAGTGTGCAATACTTCTATCTATGGTTAAACTACTTCTAAGAAGATTTATAGGAGGATGCTTTAAGTCACACAGCAGTGACAGAGCTGTCAGGGTTACCACCACCTTCTGGCAGCTCCAATGAATTCTATAGGAAGATGCTTTTCAAGCAGCACAGTAGCAAGAGCTGATAAAGTTCACAGTCGCCAAGGTGGACTGACGGTCTGAGGGCATCCTTCACCAAGAACTGGAGCAAGGTCCTACAACTCCTTTATCAGGAGGAGAGGCTCTCGCCCCAAGCCTGCCACACAGTGGGTATCTTTATGATACTGAACGCTGGCGCCTGGGCCATGGATTCAGTATGGTATGACTGTCCCTTAAATCATGCTCTGCACTGTGTCTGCTCTAGGCATTCCTCCAATTATAAACTACTTATTCCTTAATTCATGCTCTGTACTGTGTCCATTCTAGGCATTCCTCCAATTATGAGCTAAGATATAATTATATATGTAGGGAAATATTCTTTAGGCACTCATACTATCTACTATTATATGATTATATAGAGAGGATTATATAAAGGGATTCTTCAAGCCCTAATTTTTTTTTTTTTTTTACTTTTTTCTTTTTTTAAGATGGGGTTTCACCATGTTGGTCAGGCTGGTCTTGAACTCCCAACCTCAGGTGATCCACCTGCCTTGGCCTCCAAAGTGCTTGGATTACAGGCGTGAGCCACCACACCCGGCCCCCAAGCCCTAATTCTATAAACTAAATATGATTATATAAAGGATTATATAAAAGGAAATTGCTGAGTAGTAACACTATAAAGTGAGATATTCTTCAAGCCCTAACTGTGCCGGGGTTCTGCTTAGTTCTCATTCCTCGGTGACTATATGGGAGGTTACCCACCCTGGGCAGGCAGGAAGGGCCCTTGAGGGCCATGGCACAGGCTCTGGGAGGTACAAGGCAGCTTCGGGCAGAGCCCAGCAGTGGAGGAAGCAAGGCGGTGAAGGGCAGGTGTGGGCAGAAGATCCACTCAGAGGAGGCCTTGCCCTCCAGGGTCACTGCCCTTGTCGGGGTGGGGACACTGAGCAGCGCCCACACGTGGAACGTGTTCTGAGTAAGGGGTGGGTGCTCCTCCTGCAGCAAGATGGACCCTGCCCCTTAGCCTGACTACCAGAAAGACAGTGTGCTGCTGGTCCCACGGGGAGCAGAGGGCAGCAAGAGCCTAACAGGGGCCCTGGCTTGGCAGCAGAGGGATAAGGGTCAGGGGTCCCCTGGAAGAAATGGCCCCCGGCACAGTGAGTAGCAGGCATTGCAGGCTGAGGGAATGGGAATAGAGGCCACATTCCCCAGGTGGGGCATGGTCCCCAAGGCCAAGTGCTGTAGGAAAGTGGTCTGCACCCAGCGCCTCAAGGGCCCAGAGCCAGGGCCAGGCTCCAGCCTCGAGGGCCAGCCCGCAGGCAGTTCCTGCAGCACAGGTGCACAATCAGTGTCCAAACACCGCGTTCGGGAAGCCCAGCATCCCGGTGGCGAGACCCTCCAGTTCAACCTGGAGCCTGCGTGCGAGATTGGACCCCAGGAACCACACCCAAGGGAGCCACGACTTTCTAGGCCAACTCCCGAGGGTCCCCGGGCCAAGCCCAGACCAGCTGCAAAGCAGGCCGGGTTCGGCCGGGGTTGGGGCGCCTTGCCCGGGTTGAGGGCGAACCCCGCCCACCATCGCCTCTCGGGTGGAGCTGCGGAGTTAGGCTAGCGACGGACGAGACCTCGGAACACGTTGGGCGTGGCCCAGTGGGAGGGGATTGCGTTGGGCGGGGACTGTGGGCGTGGTTTACACTGGGTGCGGTAGTGGGCGGGGTTTGCATTGAGAGGAGGCCCAGCGAGTGGGCGTCTTGCGAGCGACGCCTCCTGTGGGCGGGGCCTGTGGCGAAGGGGCTCGCGCCGAACGAGGCCTAGTGGGCGGGGTTTACGCTGCGTGGGGCGTCCGGTAAGCGTGGGGCGTCCGGTAAGCATGGGGCGTCCTGTAAGCGTGGGGCGTCCTGTAAGAGTGGGTCGTCTTGCAGGCTTGTGCCCCCCCTGAGGGGGGGGGCCTGTAGCGAGCGGGGCCCGGTGGGCAGGATTTACGCTGCGTGGGGCGTCCAGTAGGCGTGCTCTCCTGTGGGCGGGGCCTGAGGCCAGCGAGGCCCGGCGGGTGGGGTTTGCGCTGAGGGGGGCGTTATGTGGGCGTGTTCTGTGATGGGTGTGTCCTGTGGTGGGCGGGGCTCCATAGAGCCTCGCCGCCGGGCTCTGTTCCAACCTCCTCAGAGCATGGCTCTAGGGCTGCTGCCGGCCCTCGGGCTCCGGCTACTGCTGCTGCTGCTCCTGACGCTGCCGCAGGTGGGTCGGGCCGCGCCCTCTCTCGGTTCGGCCACAGTGGGCCGGGTCCGTGCTCGGACCACGCCCCTCTCGGGCTCACCCCTGTCCCCACAGGTGGCGCTGGGTTTCGCGGACCGAAGCTGCGACCCCTCGGACCAGTAAGTCGGGGCGGGAGGGAGCCGGGGCCGGCCCCACCCTTGGGGAGGCGCGGGCGTCGTCGTCGGCGGACCGGTGACCCACCTGCTCCAGGTGCCGCCGTCCCCGCAGGTGCCCGCCTCAGGCCCGCTGGAGCAGCCTGTGGCATGTGGGGTAAGTGGAGGCCGCGGCTGAGCCGTGCGTCCGACGGTTCTGGGGCGGGGGTCACCGAGGCCACTCCCGCCAGGCCCTTACCTCAACAGGCCGCCTCCCTCCGCTGTCACCCAGCCCCAGCCACTGGCTGGAACTGGCCTCGAGCAAGCAGGACTTACCTCCCACTCCTCCCGCCTGGCCTCCACGGGAAGCCCTCACGATCCCGGTCAGCAGTGGGGCAGCCGCTGAGGGCAGCACGTCCTGGGAGTGAGCCCAAGGCCATCCTTGTAGCCTGAGAGAGACAGCCAGGGCAGGCCCAGCAGCCAGAGGCCAGATTCTGGCCACAGCAGCCTCCGACGTGGAGAGACATTATCTGCTTTTTATCCTGTTAACCTGTCTTGGGTGGTTGTGCCACGGCATTCCCCACGGTGCAGGTGCCCGGTGGCTGAGGGTCAGTCCAGTGGTGGGGACTTGCTGTCCTAGGCTGGTCCTGCTGGCAGTCCTCCTGCTGCTGCTGTGCGGGGTCACAGCTGGCTGTGTCCGCTTCTGCTGTCTCCGGAAGCAGGTGCAGGCCCGGCCACATCTGCCACCAGCACGGCAGCCCTACGACCTGGTGGTCATCCCGATGGACAGTGACAGCCCTGTACACAGCACTGTGACCTGTGAGTGCCTAGGGGCCCGCCTGGTGGGTGTAGAGATGTCGGGGTAAATGCCAAACCACCCACTCTGGTTCCCTGCAGCCTACAGCTCTATGGAGTACCCACTGGGCACGCAGCTGCCCCTGCCCTTCGGGGAGCTGGACCCCGACTCCATGGCTCCTCCTGCCTACAGCCTGTACTACCCTGAGCCTCCACCCTCCTACAATGAAGTTGTCAAGATGGCCAAGCCCAGAGAGGAAGGGCCGGCACCCTCCCAGAAACCCAGTCCTCCCCTTGGGGCCTCAGGCCTAGAGACCACTCTAATGCCACAAGAATCAGGCCCCAGTACCCAATACCCACCCTGTAGCTCTGCTGCCCCTTGAAGGAGGTAGGAGAACAGACCAGAGCTCGGAGAACTGGCACTTGGAGCCAAGGGCCCGCAGCCCACCCCACCATCCAGAACATTGCTGTGGCCCAGGTACTGTGTTACACCGCCAGCCAGCCCAGCAGGCTGCATGGCGTCACCCCTGAGGCAGGCTGCTGCTTTCAGCCTCAGCCCCTTGCCCAGCCCCAGCAGACTCTCAGGCTGGAGGAAGCCCCCTGGGCCTGAGCCTTGGGTGGGAGCTCAAGGCCAGCTGTGACATCTGCATCTTCTTGGAGAGAGAATAAAGTTTGTATGTAAGTGGGCTCTGCCTATGTGGGAAGGACTCTGGGACTCCAGAGCTCTGGGAGGAACCCTTGGGTAGCCAACCCCCAGTGCCAGCAGGCAGGGCGAGCGAGTGGTTCCCAGCCTGTACCCCGTCCAGCCTTCAGGCTGCCATTCCTAGCCCTGAGCTGGGCAATGAGTGGTGTCAGGTGTCGTGGCAGAAGTGACTGGGGCTGTGTTCCCATGGCTGGGCCAGAAAAACTTCTCCTCCAGCCCCATGCCTTTGCCCGTTGCCCCCCACCACAGGCTGGAACAGTGAGGCACACACAGGTCAGGCTGGAACATTTATTTTATACAGAGCTGGGGGAGTGGGTGGACAGGTGGCAGGGGCAGTGGCCTTCCCGGGCAGGCCTCCCACGGCTGCAGCAGCTGTGCCTACTGGACCAGCTTGAAGGACTCTCCAGTCATCATGGCCACGAACTCTGGGGTCAGAGAGGCAGGTCAGCAGCTTGCCCTGGCCCAGCCAGCAGCTCCCAGGGCTCGAGCCCACTCACCCTCATAGTCAATGGTCCCGTCCCCATCCTTGTCGGCCTCCTTCATCATTTGCTCCGCCTCCACCTCGTTGAGGGGCTCTCCTGCGTTCATGAGCACGTACCTGCGGGACCTGATGCTCAGCCACTCCCTTGGCCCTGCCTGTGCCCGCCTGCCACCCACCGCCCACCTGGGCCCTACTTGAGTGTGTTCCAGTCAATGTAGCCCTTGCCCTCCTTGTCAAAGACGCGGAACGCCGCCCTCAGCTCACTCTCCTGGTTCTGGGCCTTCTCGTGGTAAACTCCCATTAGTGCCAGGAAGCCATCACAGTTGAAGAACCCTTTGTCTGCAAGGAGCACAGCTGGGGCTCACGGGGGGGGTGGCATAGCACTGCCCATGGGCTCTGCCTCTTCCCCCTCGTGGGTACTGAGACCTGACCCAGGGCCGCACCCTGAGGCTGCCCACCCCCCCCCGACAGCACAGGCTCACTGTCTTTGTCCACGTCCTTGGCCATGGAGGCCAGCTCGCTCTTGGTGGGGTTGATGCCCAGCAGGCTCATGAGCCGCTCCAGCTCCCCGGTCTTCACCTCCCCATTGCCCTCCTCATCAAACATCTCAAAGACGCCCTTGTACTCCTTGATCTGCTCGGCTGATAGGCGCTCCATCTGCAGGGGACATCCACACCAGCCTGACCCAGAGCCCCTTCTGCCCCTGTGTCCAGGGAAGGGTTGAAGGTGCCCCCTGCCCACATCCCTCCATAGACAGCCTTGCAAGGTGAGTAGTAGAGAGGTGGCCCCCAGCTCAGAGCAGGCTTCCCGGACAAGGGGTTGCATGCTAGGGGTTTTCAGGCCAGCAGGGCTCCGCCAGGCAGCTCACAGGGGCAAGGGTGAGCCAGGCAGGGGCCAGTGTGTGAGGGAACAGTGGGAGCTGCAGGGCCAGGCAGGCCAGTCCGCAGCCCTGGAGCCTGGCAGTGGACACCAGGTGAGGCAGGTGTAGGAAGCTGGCAGTGTGGGGAGGAGCCCAGCCCCCACCTGGGAAAGGCTTCCAGTCCCAGATTGTGATACAGCCCAGGAAGCAGAGTCCCTGGCTCCAGCTGTGTGACATTCTGGAAGGAGAGTCCAGTACCGGCCACACCTGCCTGCCACCACTGCGGCCTCCCGCCTGGGACCCAGCTTGCAGAGCGGGCTGCTCCACCCTGGCCCCAGAGCAAGGCTGTGTTGGTGGCAGCAGGGCGTGGCCTCCTCTTCCACCTCAGCGCCTTCCTGCCCAGGCTCCCGGACAGATCCTCGAACCTCCAGGCTCCAGCTCAACCCACCCAGCCAGCCCACCAGAGGCTCCATGGGGCAAAGGGAGCAACCTTACCATGGCAGTGGCTGTGTGACAGGACCCTGCAGGGTGGTGGCACCAGGGCTGCTGTGGGCAGAACGCTGGGCCAGTGGTGGCAGCTGAGTTTTAGCTGGGCCTGGCTGCCTGGGGTCCCCGGGGTCCAGATTCCAAGAGCCTTTTATGGGTGGGAAATCCTACTGGCCCTATTTGGGGACAGGCTCTTGGCCTTATCCACAGGGCCCCTTCCCAGCCCGCTTTGGCCTGGGCTTCCCCTGACCCTGAAGATGGGCACGGAAGGCCAAGGGCAGGGGGCAGGAAAGGGCTGAGCCGTGGGGGCCCCACACACACTGTTCCCCTCTCTGTTCCCTCTTCACCAGACCAATCTCTGAGTCACCTCCCCAGAGGTGCAGCCCTCCGGCAAATCTTCACGGGACCCTGCTCCCAGGCTGTCATTTCTTGCCAGTGAGATTTCTTGCTGAAGACCCGCCGGGCTAGCCGGTGCCCAGTGGCTCAGAGCCTACCACCCTCCCCCATCCTGGTGGGAGCACAGGATGTGCCAGCATGTCACAAACTTTAAGGACAGGTTGAATGAACATCAGGCACCCCTTGGCCACCCTATACAGGAGGGGCTGAGGGGCCACCATTCCTGGAGGAGACAGCAGGATATCAGACAGGGCCTGGGGGCTGGGCTGCCCGCTGGAGGCCAGGCACAGTTGGGGGCTATTTTGGGGTTTCTTAGGGAAACCTGACCTCCCTTCCACTTGGAACAGCAAAGCTGGCTCCCAAGGGGGCCTGGTGCCCAGGCTGGTCAGTAAGGACATGCCACAGTGGAGCACATGCCTGCACACGTGTGTTTCCTCCTCCCGCCCTGGGTCTAATTCCCAGCAGACTCCCAAAGCCAGGGTCCAGCTCCTCCCCACCCCACCCAGGCAGGGGTGTGAGGTTTGCAGTTGCAGGCCGCACTCAGGGTCACACTCACACCTGCCCCCAACTGGCCCCTTGACGGCATGAAGAGTCTGAGCAGGTGGGGCACTCAGTGTCCCCTCAGTGTCCTCTGCCTGCCAGAAAACCTGAAGCCACAGGATGCCTCCCGCCGAGACGCAGGCCAGCTGCTGAGACTGCAAGACTGATGCTAAGAGGGCAGGCCAACGGCCCAGGGCACCTCCAGCCAAGCAGGCCGGGGCTGGAGGATAAGCGGCCCGGGGTCCGGTGGCACCCAGGGAGGCCCTGCCCTTCATCCTGGTTGCTCCCTGGCCTCAGATTCCCCCTGGGCTGGGGCAGGGGACAATTCATGCACTGAGCACCTTCCACCAGGGGCATAGGATGGAGGGAGCTGCAGCACCCTGGCCAGAGCCCGGCCTGTGTTCCTGGCTCTGGGTCCCCAGATGCAGGCCAGCCAGGTACAGAGACACAGGGGACTGCACTGACCTCGTGGCCCTGGGCCAGCCCCAACCCCAACAACTCCCATAGCCGGTAGACAGCCGGCTCTGCCCCCTCCGTTCCAGACCTCTACCTTCTGGCATTCCTGGGCTAAGCCCTGAAGGTTCCAGACATCCTGGTGGCCTGAGGAGTTAAACTCAAAGCTGTGACCCCTGCAGCCCAATTTAAAGTAGCGGCAGCACCCCGCACCCTCTCCCCAGGCATCACCGGCCACAGCCACTGTCAGCCCCTCTGCCCTCCATCTGCCTTCTACCCTGACCCACGACGCAGTGAAAGCAGCAGTCCGGGTCCTTGCCCTCTGTCCCCTCTCTCCTCGTGCTGACTGGCCTCTGGGTGACCTTCGGACATGCCCTGTGCCGCCAGGACCTGAGAGTCATCCAGTCTTTATTTTCCTTCTTCTCTCTCTACTGATTACTGAAGGGGTATTCTCCACAAGAAAACACTTAAAACCCTGTAACAATCAGAATGCCGCCTCAGCCTCATTCGGGTGCAAGTGCAGTTGTGTTCATGGCCACACCCAGCCACACAGCAGAGCTCCAGAACCTTTCACCTTGAAACTGTCCCTCTGCACCCTGTAAACAGCAGGTCCCCCTTCTGCGTCCCCCCGCCTATGGCAGTCACTATTCTATTTTCTGTTCCTAAGAATTCAACTACGTAGACTGCCTATGAGTGGAATCATACACTGTCTTTCTGGGGCTGGATTCATGTCATTGAGCTTCATCCATGGTGTAGCATGTGACAGAATAAGCAGCTTTTTTTTTCCTTTGTTGAGATGGAGTCTTGCTCTATCGCCCAGGCTAGAGTGCAGTGGTTAGATCTTGGCTCACTGCAACCTTCGCCTCCCAGGCTCAAGCGATTCTCCTGCCTCGGCCTCCCAAAGTGCTGGGATTACAGGCATGAGCCACCATGCCTGGCCCAGAGTAGGCTTCTTTTTTAAGGCTGAGTACTATTTTATTGTCTGGATGAAGGAGTTTCATAGATGTGATTTGTATTTAAATCACTAGACTTTGGGAAAAGCACATGACCCTCCAGAATGTAGGGGAGCCTCATCCAGTTAGTTGAGGGTCTTCAGAGAAAACACCCGTCCTCCAAGGAAGAAAGAATTCTGCCCCGAGACAGCCTCAGCCTGGAGCTGCACCATCAGCTCTTCCCTGCAGCTTCCCTATCGAACTTGCACACAAGGGCCAGTTCCTCAAAATCTCTCTCGTGTGCGTGTGTATGAGAGACGTACGTATACAGACATACACACACATCCTCCTGCTTCTCTGGAGAACCCAAACGACCACAGAGGGTCACCACAGATATTACCACTGCCACTGGGGTCTGCGGTGAGAAGACAGAGACCCCCACACCACTCTGGGGCAGCAGCCTTCACTGCAAGCCCACCTCGCCTGAGGCACACGGGCACGGCATGGTCACTGTGGCCACAGGCAGGACTCAGATGGTCCCTGCAGGGGGTTGGGCCCCTTCTGCCCAGTCCTGCTGCCCCTTTCCTGTGGCAGGGGCTGACCCCTAACAGGGAGCCCAAACTCTGTCTCAGGGTCAGCTTCTGGGGAGCCCAACCTGTGACATGATGACATGTGGGCAGTGGCTCCCCACTGCCAAGCTGCAGCAAGGCACCAGTGGGGGGTGAAGACACACGTCCCTGCGTGTCACGTGTTACACTCATGGTGGTGAGTTGGAAGGGCAGAGGGGTGAACCAGGTAGCTGCCACCAATCGAGGCTACAGGTGGCAGAGGAGAGAAGAGGGCACTTGAAAGGCAGGGCTGAGCCCGGTGTGAGCATCAGGGCCCCTCTGTGGTTCCAGGCAGCATCTCTGCTCTCCACTCTGCAGCAGGAACTCAGTGACTTGGAGGCCCAAGCCCAAGACTTACATCAGAGCAGGCAGAGCCCTGGTGAGGACATCCAGGAGGCGGCCCCTGAAGTTTCCACATCTGCAGGCTTGCTCACCGCTCCCTAGGAAGAGCTGGTACTTCCACCCCAAGGCTGGAAGATCCAAAACCAGAGGCAGCATCAGCTCCCCGAGCCCCACATGCCCTGCTGGCATGAGGGTGGTACTGAGGGCTGAGGTTGGCAGCAAGACCCGGCTGCAGATGAGTGTGGATAACCCCCTTTCTGGGCACCGAGGAAGGAGAGCTAAGCAGACCCCAAACATAATTAGTGCCTGAAGAATACCTTGGTTTCTAGTGTTACTACTCAGTCATTTCCTTTCTATAATCCTTATGTATAATCATATATTATCTATAGTTGGAACAGTCAGTGCCTGAGGAATATTCTTACTACTCAGTCATTTCCTTTTATATATATATGTATGTAATTATGTCTTAGTTTATAGTCGGAGGAATGTCTAGAGCAGACACAGCACATTTAAGGGGAAAACAGACCAGGACAAGAATCCATGGCCCAGGTGGCAGCGTTCAGTATTGTAAACACACCCGCTGTGTGGCAGGCTTGGAGCAAGAGCCACTCCTCCTGAAAAGGAGTTGTAGGACCTTGCTCCAGTTCTTGTGGAAGGTGCCCTCAGACCGGCAATCCTGAGCATGTCCAGGACTTAAAACCCCGCAGTATAGTCGCGCCTTGGTGGCTTTGAACTTTATCAGCTCTGTTGCTATGTACTGCCTCAAAGCACCCTCCTATAGAAATCACTGGATGCTGCCAGCAGGTGGCTGTAGACCCTGTTAGCTCAGTAGCTGCTGTACCGACTCAAAGCATCCTCCTTTTTTTTTTTTTTTTTTTTTTTAAAGACGGGGTTTCACCATGTTGGTCAGGCTGGTCTTGAACTCCCAACCTCAGGTGATCCACCCACCTTGGCCTCCAAAGTGCTCGGATTACAGGCGTGAGCTACCACGCCCGGCCTCAAAGCATCCTCCTATAGAAATTCTTCGAGAGACGTTGCACACTGCACTCTCCTTGCTGCACACCGCCCACCTCCTTGGTGACCTAATGGGGGTGGGCCCCTTGCTTATTGCTCACGTGATTGTCTTGACCCTATCACTATCCTCACCTTGCTCACTACTCTGCCCCCTAACCTATACCCAATAAATAAAGGCTCCTGGATGTTCGGAGCCTGGCCCGTCTCCGCTCATAGGTGGCGTGCCCCCCACCCACCCCGGCCCAGCCCAGCTGTCTTTTCTAGTCCTTTGGTGTCTTCTCTCTTTGTTTCTTGGATCCACTGCCTCAGCACAGCGATAGGGGAAACCCTAAGACCCTGTAGGGCTGGACCCTACAACAAGTGGGCCAGGTGCTGCCACAGCAGCTGGGGGGTCCAGACCCACAGGGCTCCCTTGGGCCTGGAGCGCTGGCTCAGGAGGAAGAGGACTCTGCAGCGCCGGCTCCCACCTTTCCCTTCCCTCTGCAGCTTCTGCCTGCAACCTCCTCAGCAGCACACAGGGCAGGCCACAGTGTGGGGCGAACACCTGAGCCGCAGCCCGGGACTGGCCCCTTCCCACCCTCTTCGCCTCCAGCTCCCCCATGGCGGCTTCCTGGAATTCCCCAAGAAATGCTGTCCCTCCAAGTCCTTGTCTCGGGATCTGCTTGCGGGCGCCCAGCAGAGACAAGGGTGGAAAACAAAGTGAAACGAAAACTCTGGCCCCACAGACCATACAAGGGAAGGAGGTGGGGGCGCGGGGCCCATATTCCCAGCACCGCGCAGGAGATGGCCAGAGACTATACCTTGGGCTTAGAAACGCAACATGAAACCTGTAAGGTAGCCATTAAAATGACCAAAACCACTTGTAAAACCTCCACACCTGCAGAGGAAAAATACTGATGAAAATGTAATCAATCTAACAGAACACAGGAGGGAGAAAGAAGCATATAGAGAAAGCAGAAAGTCGCATTATAAAAGTACTCTAGGGTCACGCACAGTGGCTCACACCTGTAATCCCAGCACTGTGGGAGGCTGAGGTGGGAGGATGGCTTGAGCCCAGGAGTTTGAGACCAGCCTGGCCAACACAGCAAAACCCTGTCTCTACAAAAATACAAAAAAAATCAGCTGGGCATGGTGGCATGAGGTCAGGGGTCCCAGCTACTCAGGAGGCTAAGGTGAGAGGATCACTTGAGCTAGGGAGGTTGAGGCTGCAACGAACTATGATTGTGTCACTGGACTCCAGCCTCGGCAACAGAGCCAGACCCTGTCTCAAAAACAAACGACAACAGCAAAAGCCAGGCGCGGTGGCTCACGCCTGTAATCCCAGCACTTTGAGAGGCTGAGGCGGGCAGA